CATGAAGAGTCAGGAAGGTCCCACTCACAAATCAGGTAACGAAAGCAGGCTTACAGCAGCCATGCCACAGGAACCCACAGGACAGGCTATGGGATTTCAGGGTATGGAAAGTGACCTTCCAAATGAGTAGGGAAAAATGGGTTTCTTAGGAGACTGGCTAGCTTAGGGAAGAAACGTCCGGTTCCTTCTCTGTCTGTGTACCACAACAAATGTCAGGCATATTACACATTTAAATATCAATAAACAAATAATTTACAGAAGAAAAGTTCAGTGAACATTCGTGCTAAGAAACAGAATAAGCCTAAGAATTCCCACAGAGCCCAAAATCTGCACAGAAAAGACTGTTACATTTCATTACTTAAAATGGAACAGTGAAACAAAGTGGATAATCTTGTAGAAAATATCTGTAACACTTTCACATAACAATTCTTCTTAAAAGAGTCTAATTTCCCTAATAAGCTGTAATCAACCAAAAAAATAGACAAAAGACATGAAGATAATTCATAGGAAAAAAAATGAATGTACTTTAAGAGTTGTAAGTGAATTAAAATCCTAAGATCATCTTTTACTTATTAGACTAGCAAAGATTTCCAAGCTTGATAATACCTGTCAATCATTATTACATAGCAGTCTGTCTCTCATTCTATTCCTGAGAGTGTGAACTAGTACAATACCATTTGAGCATAACCATTAAATTATTAACTCTGCATACACTTTGACCTAGCAATTCTACTTCCATGAATTTTTTTTTAATTTATTTTTTGGCGCTAGAAATTGAACCCGAAGTGTTCACACTGAGCTACATCTCCAGACCTTTTTTGTTATTTTTTTTATTTTAATTCCAGGTCTCACTAAGATGTTCAGGTTAGGTTCCAACGTGTGCTCCTCCTGCCTCTCATTACAGGCATGTACCACCACACCTGGCTCTAACAATTCATACTGCAAGAATACTATTTTTATGTGAAAAAGGAAGATGCTGAGTAACAGTCCACTAATTATCTCTACTAATCAGATAACAAAGGGTCCAATAATTATAATTTTTTTAAAACACTAGAAGAGGGTCCAGCCCACCCCCCACCCCAGCTCCTGCAAAGCCCACCCTGCTGCCACCTCTTCCTTTTTCCAATGGCTCCTGAGGTGGTAACCTGAGGCGGCGAGCTAGCCAACAGTTATATCACCACTGACACCACCACCACGGCCACGAAAGGCACCAAGATGGCAGAGTGGTAAGCAGCACAGAAAGAGCCTCTCTGAGTGTTGCTGTCATCCAGATGCTGGACTATAGCAACGTGAGGAAGGCAAGACAGAGGGAAGTGGGTCTCCTGGACCGAGGAAGGATCTGAGCCCATAAACTGAAGCCCATAGAGGGAGCAACCTCCACGAAGGGGAAGGAGGGAGCCAGGAGTACCTTCTCCCTGAGACGGGACTCACTGCATGAGAAGAGATTCAAGAACACCAGAAGAAAAAACTGTTAACAGTAATTTCTATGGCAATACATACCTATACATTTATAGGCAAACTTTCCCATTTGAATTATAAATTTCTATGAAGTTTCAATAATTTATTATGACCGTGATTTATTTAAAGTAGAAATTATAAAGAATAAAAGTAAGCTGGGCATGGTGGTACATGTTTGTACAGTAGTCCTGGCACTCAGAAGCCTGAGACAGGATAGAGAATTAGTTTAAGGTCCAGGCTATATAGTTAAGAACCTGTCTCAAAACCAAAAAAAAATAAAAATAAAAATAAAAAGAGAAGAAAAGGAACCAAAGCGCCCCTTTAAAGGTATACTCCACTCTCTCCCTCCCTGCCATGACACCTGTGAGAGAGGCTGAAACTGCTCTTGAATGAGCTGAGACTTACCCTAATTGCTTTCAGTCCATTTGACACTTTATTTTCTTCCACAAGTGCAACAACTTCCTGTCCAACATTCAGAACCACACTGCCAGTCACAGCCTCATTGGAGAAGTAGATCAAATCATCAATCATGCCATAATCACTGCAATACCTTGTCACGACACCCTGCACGGTTTTCAACCTGGTGTCACCTGCGTAAGGTAAGCAAAGAGGTTACACTGGACACAAAAGCAAGCTCCACTACAATTAAGCTCTACCAAAGAAAGGCAGAACATGAAGGTCCACATGGGGAGCTGGGGATTTAGCTCAGCGGCACAGCGCCTGCCTGGCAAGCACGAAGTCGTGAGTTTGATTCCTGGTACTGGAAGAAAACAAAAAAACAAAAAAACAAACAAAAAAAAGAAGGTCTACATGAGATGGGACCTTAATGGGCTGGATGTGAGACACAGAGACCCTGTCAGGGAATAGAGTTTAGGATGTAGGATTTTTGAGGCAGAGGTGCTAGTTCTCCGCGTATAGATGGGCGGATATGGTAGTGAGAGCCCTGACCGCAAAGCCAGACTGCCTGAGTTTCACTTAAATCTACTCTACTACCATGTATCACCCTAGGTGTGTTCCTCAACCACTACATGCCAGTTTTCATCTACAAAATGGAGCCAGGGAAATAGCTCAGAAGCACAAGCACCTGCCTGGCATGCGCAAGGACCTGAGTTTGATTCCTGGTGTATAAAAAAAAAAAAGAACATCTATAAAATGGGAACAACAACCATCATGACAGAACACACATACAAAGTACCTCTAGAGCTTTGTGGGGCTGGCAAGCCCACTGTTAGATTTATATGAGGATCTGGGGAATCCTCTACATGTGCTGTTACTATCACCTTCTCTCATCACCATCAATACCATTAGCTGCAGCCCCAAGAGACTGGGTAAGCTCTGATAAACAAAGCAGAGGGTATGGGAAGGTGCATCTGGCCCAGGAGCTGTGCAGACTGTCAGGCTCTGTGACCTACTGGTATGGTTTAAATCAAATGTGTTCCCCGAAGGTCTTGCACGTTCAGAAGGTGATTGATCACAGGGTGCTATGCTCATCCATTGATTCATCTATTGATGAATTAATAGCAGACTGGGATTTTAGGAGGTGGGTCCCGTTTGGAGGTGGTCACTGGGGTATGACCTGGAAGGGTGTGTTCTTATCCAGGGCTCCTTTCTTCTCTCTTTGCTTCCTGGCTGCCATGAGGTGAGCAGCTTTCCTCTGCCTGGCCCTCCTACCATTAGATTCTTGCCATGGAGCCATGTGACCATAGACTGAGTTCCCTGGAAACCATGAGGCAAATAAAATTTCTCCTCTTTTAAGTTTTGAGTATTGGGTCCCAGTGACCAGAAGGTGACTGAGACATTCATCAAGTGTCTGGAGCTGCAGCGACCATCCTCAAGCCTGAACCGCATGTTCCCTGCCCCTTCCCCTAAGACACCTCTGGTGCTCAGGTCACCTTCTGGTAGAGGAAGTTTAGTGCTGCAGGGAGATGGAGCTCAAGCTGTCACTGAAAGCCCAGGTCCACTCCATTATGACAGGAAGGGACTTGCTTTAGGCTGGCTAGAGGCACTGGCACGTCTGCACACAGATGGCTTTTACCAAATGTCCTCAATTTTACCAGTTTCACTCCTGTTTTTTTTTTTCCTCTTTGAGACAGGGGCTCACGATGTAGCCCAGGCTGGCCTCACACTCCTGTGGGAATCCAGCCTTCCCGAGTGCTGGGGTTACAGGCGTGTGCCAACACCACGCCTCGCTCCCACTGCTATTTCCGGCGTCCCTTGTGAAGACTGTCCCGCTTGTAGAGGTGAGAGGAAGCACTGGGAACTTCTCCCCGCGTTGAGTCCCCGGCCTGGGGAGGAGAGTGGAGGGACGTCAGAGGCCAGGAGAGGAGCGCGGGGCGTGTACTCCAGAAGGACAGCGCAGCGGGATGGGACGACGCTTCTCAGAGCTCTGCAGGCGACATGTGGCCGGGGACAGGATGGCCATGTCACCTCGCTGAGGCAGCGCGACCGACGGGAGCAAGGCACACAGCGAACGGGGCTGGGTCCGGCACAGTGCAGAGCGCTCCGCGTGTCCCCGGCCCCGGAAGCCAGACGCCCGGCAGGCAAGGCGCGCGCACGCCCGGACCTCCGTCCCTGTCACTCGCAGGCGCTGCAAACCCGACCACCCCCTGCGCTCTGTGCCCACTGGAGGACCCTGTGGGTGACAGATGTCTGCAGGGTGCCCCATTCGGCCCACGCGCACCTTCCACGAGCTCCTGCCCAGGACACCGGTCCTCCTCCGCGGAGTCTTCCCTTCTCCAGAAGAAGGCCACCACTTTAGCTGCGAGGCGCAACATGGCTGCTGCTCGCTTCTGCCGCCCCGCCGGAGGCGCCTGCACGCGGCTTCTGCCCCCAGCCAATGGGAGGACCGCGTCTGCGCCTGCGCATGCCTCCCGTGGGCCTCGGCCAATGGGGCCACCGCGCCTCCTACCCCTTCCGCTGCTTTGGCCAATTAGGGTCGTGGAGGTGGCCAAGACCGTTAGCTGTCCGGGCACGTGAGGGAACCCGTGGTGCCTTGTGGGAGTGACAGCAAGCCTAGCGAGCTGAGCGCCCCGCCGGGTGGGCGGGGTCTCTACGCTGCGGGAAGGAAGATTCTGTCCTCCAGCTCTGCCTGACGCCTGGAGTCGTTTTCTAGATAATCTTCATCTAATCGAGGGAACTTGTGTGGCCTTGGAGTTTTCTTTGTGGGAAAGTTTTCAACTACAAATTTAACTTCTGCATTAGCTATAGGGCTATCCAAATTATCGGTGTAACTTGAGCAAACTTCGGTAGTTTGTTTTCTAAGGGTTTATTCGTCCAACTTGTGAAATCAAGAGTATAAAGTGGCTCATAATATTTCCTTTGTGTGCATGGTTCTGGGGACTGAATCCACGGTCTTTGCACTGAGCCACATCCCCACCCATTTTGAAATTTATTTTGAGACAGGGCCTTGCTAAATTGCCCGGATTGAGCTCCAACTCTCCGTCATACTGCCTCAGCCTCCTGGGAATTAGAGCGAGGCATGTACCAAAGCTCCAGGGTCTTGTGTTTTTTTTTTTTTTTTTTTTTTTAATGTGTGTATGAACCATCTTCCATTCTTGATATTGGTAATTTAATCATCTCTCATGTTTTCAGGAGAGATTGGCCTAATACTTCTTAATTTTACTATCTTTTTAAAAAAAGCACCTCTTGGTGTCATGCATCTTTATTGTGTAAACAATGTCTTTATTATTTCAATGATTTCTCTTTTATGTCTCACAGTTTGCTTTTCAGGTTTTGGTTTAATTTGTGCTTTTTCCTTCCAGCTTCTTAAGGTGGGAAATTAGATGCTTTATTTTGGAACTGTTTTCTTTTTAAAGCATAAGCATTTAAAACTAAATTTCTCTTTCAGCTGACTTAGCTGCATCCCACAAAGTTGTGCTTGTATTTTCATTTCATTCAGCTTCCAATTTCCCTTGTGACTTCTCCTTTGAGTTACATGGAACTTTTTGTTTTGTTTTCAAGGTACATTGTTTAATTTCCAAATATTTGGGGGTTTTGTTGATGATTTTCTGTCACTGGCTTCCAGTTTAATTTGGTTGTGGTCAGAGAGCAAAATCTGGATGTTTTCTGTCTTTAAAAACTTACTAAGGTTCTGGCCTGAGCACGCCAGCATCACTGTAGGCGTATCCTGCAGTGCTCCTGGGTGTCCAGCTCAGCTCTGACCAGGAGGTCTTTATTGTGCTGGACTGGCTCTGTTGGTCCTTTTTCTTGAGAGCCAGGAGGGAGTCTTCATTTCTAGACCCTAGGAAACATCATCAGGCCTTAACTGGGAGTGCACACGGGGTACGAAGGGTCCCAGGGACTTGGGGTGTGGCATTTGGTGAAAGAGATGTCCTCAGAGACTGGGGTGCAGCGTGGAGGCTGGAGGTCCTGGTCTGGCTTCCTGCCAGGGCCGTGTGTGGTGGCACTGCCACTGGCAGGCTTGTGCCCAAGGGCCACCAACCCAAACTGCTGCTCTGGACCCAGGCGCCCTTGTGAACACCTCCCAGACACCACAACCCTGTCAAGTCCAAACAGTGACCCTGCTCCAGCCTGCCCAGCTCCAGCCTTTTGAACTCAGCCCATGTCACTAACAGCAGATGGTGCTGGCTCTTGCAGATCCATCCAAGGTTGGGTGCCCTCCTACCCCTCCCAGTGCTGCCACCTTAGTGCCAACCAACACCTGCTCCCCTCTGCACATCCATTTCGGTGAAAGCCACGTGATCTCCACACCCACAGGTGCCTCTTACTTGGCTTCCCCTTGTAGCCCAGCCCTCAGGATCCTGTACCCCCTTTTCCAGCCTTGCCCCTACTGCCCCAGGGCCTTTGTACCCGCCATGCCTGCAGTTCTTCCACCTCCTATCATAGCCTTCAGCAGCCTTGGCCTCAGTGCCTCCTTCTTGAATTCTTGGCGTCAAATGTCAAATCCATTTGACATAAAGTTGAGCACATTACAACACAACACAGGGATTTACGTGCTTCCATCCACACTGGAACATAAACCATACCCGGGAAGGATGATGGCCTTGCTGTCCACTGCATAAAAGTTGATGAAGTCTGTATAAATTAGGTATGTGGCTAGGACTCAGCAGGCAGAGGGAAGGAGGGCAGTTTGGGAACAATTGCTTGAAGGTCATGTGAAGGGACAGGACTACTTAGAAACCAGTGTGCTCACCAGCAGGGAGGACGAACTTCTCAATGGCCACTCAGGGCTTGGGCCTTGTGGAATTTGCTCTGCACTCCTGCTTTGAGGCGGTTTGTTTGCATTTCTTAGGAAAAAATAACTTGTGAAAGGTACAAAAAATGGTTGAAATCCATTTGATATTTTTCTTCAAATAAAAAGAAGCAGAAGGGCTTAGTCCCTTGAGCCCAATTCCCACTAATTCCATTGACTGCTTTAAAATTAACAATAGAAGGTTGGGAGAGTTCTCTGTCTCTTCAGAATAATTCTCGACTTTGCAGGTAATAGTTTGCAAATTACTTCTAATCCTACTAGTTGGGTTGAAAAGCTAAGGCAGCCAAGCCCCTGTGATCTGAAAGTTGATGACTGTGCTCGGGTTTGATGTGGATTTGTGATTTAAGGAGCTGGTTTTTGCTGGTTTTTTAAAGCACGTTAGTCTGAGGCTTTTTGCAGTGTGGACAAAGAAACTGTTGCTGGAACTGCCAGGGTGCCAGTGTCTCTGCGTGAAAAACATTCGTGTCCTTTTTCTCCGCCTGGTGAACAGGAATAAAGGGCACAGCCGGGTGGTGCCTGCCAGCCCTCAGGGCTGCCACGGGAACCGCCGGGTGGAATCCCGAGCAGCTTGGCAGGCCGAGCCAAGTCAAGAACACGAGGTTCATGTGACCTTGGGAAGAAGGTTTCCATCATGGGATCACGGGGACCGAGAAACGCTGCTGGAAGAAATGTAGACCAGAGCTTGGGCTAAGCTACCTACGTGGGCACAGGGCTGGCCAGGATTCTGTGTGCTGAGGGGGGACTTGTCTTCCTCAGAGATATTCACCCGGCAGGTCTGTGGTGAGGGGGACCAGGGAGGCCCTTCCTTCCGGAGTTGGGGCAGGACAGCCCCAAGCCCGTGGTTACACAACCAGTGTGAACATTTCTGGGATCCACTCCCTGGGTCCTCATTGAAATTCAGGAAGCGGGGCCTCCCCTGGCTTAAGTGCGGTTGTACTGAGCTTTTGTTCCATTTGTGAATAGTTCTTGCTGGAAGCCCCTCACCCAGAGGCAAGTGCTCCTGACAGCCGGGCGGCAGCAGAGGTAAGCACACAGGCATGAAGCCCCGAGCAGGGGCGCCTTTGGGATTGCTTGGTGGGTTGGTGGTAGGCAGAGTCCCCAAGGCGGCCTGGGATTCACACAGGAAATTGCTAAAGGAGGGTAAAATGTCTTGTACCTGGGGCCAGGGTCAATGACCGCAAACTCAGCCCTGAGTTCAAACTCAGGTCTGTCTTCCCAAGAGAGAGGTTTTATTTACTTTTTAGAATTAAGTGCTTGTTTTCCTCGTTAGATTCCTGTCACTTCAATGTGACCAATACCTCTTTGTTTTTTTGAAAAACAGTTTCTTAAAACCAACTCATTGTAATAGGGGGTTTTCAGTGATGAGAGTCGATGATAATTTAGTGACACATGAGTGGGTGGCGGCTGTTACTTGAGTCTAGCACAGCCACAGTGTAGCCACCTGTCCCGGTGCCTGTCCCCAGTGCCATGGCTCGAGACGGGCAGTTCCGGGAGGAGCTGGGCTACGATCGGATGCCTACGCTGGAGCGGGGTCGGCAGGATGTGGGGCGGCAGGATCCAGGGGGCTTCAGCACCGACACGAAGCCCAAGGACCTCCAGCTGTCGAAGAGGCTGCCCCTGTGCCTCAGCTATAAGACCTGGGTGTTCTCTGTGCTGATGGGGGTGAGTGCGTGGCCCCCTGGCCTGGGCATGGTTCCTCCTTGGGGCGGGGTGTGTCCTGGCCCCCGTAGTCATCTTCCAGAGGTCGGTGTGGACACTTCTGCAGAGGGAGCCAGGGTGGACTGGGGTGGGTCCTGAAGCCCTGTAAACCATGCAGGTTAGGGTAAAGGTCCTTTCGGGGGAGAGGAGCCATTTCTTACTTTCAGTTTTGACAACACCCCTTCCCCTTCTCCCCCAGATCACAGTGGCGGTCCCGGTTCTGGCACCTGGGGGAGGGCAGCCCATTTCTACGTCATGGTAGGGCGGTGTCTGTGCTTAGAGAGGAGTCCAGGTTAGGCGGGATCCAGGCGCTCTGTGGTGGATGTGGTGAGTGTGTTGTGTTGGTGGTGCTCCCGGTCTTTCTGTTGCCGTCTGCAGAGCTGCCTCCTGGTGACCTCAGGCTTCTCGCTGTATCTGGGCAATGTGTTCCCCTCCGAGATGGACTACCTGCGCTGTGCTGCTGGCTCTGTAAGCTCCACCCCGCAGCCACACTCCGGGACTCAGGTTCCCGTCCCATGCTTGACCCTTGTGCTCTGGAATTTGTGGGTTTCTGTCATTGGTTCCTCATTCAGCACTCTCTCGTGTGACTTTGGTTTCAGATAGTGTTTATCTGCATGAGTACTCGTGAGGCAGGTCTGCACCTGCTCTGCCAAAGCCCCTGCAGCAGTGATACAGGGTTTCAACCCGCAGCTGCCTTCTGCTGCGGCTGAGCAAACTGGCAGGACTCTGCCCTGGGGGGGACCATCGTCGGCCCTCAGAACAGAGCTCCTAGAGGGCTCAACCGCCCCCCTCACCCTCCAGGGCTGGGTCCTCACCACAGCACCACCCCTGTGGGTCCCAGAGACCTCTGACCGCAGGCCTAGGCAGCCCCTCCCCCTCAAGTGGCCTTGCTCTGTCCCGGCAGCTGTCCATTATCCTGGCCACCAGCTCTGCCCCTCCATCTCCGGCTCAGCCCCAGCCTGTCTTGTGCCACCCTCCAGGGGCCTCTGACCTCTGTCCTCCTCAGGGCCTGGGGTCCCTTTGCCCACAGGAGCGTCAGAGTGGCCTGCGTCTCTCACCTCCCGCTCCCAACAGCCCCTCCGCTGGCCCTTGATCCTGCTCAGGGGTCACAGTGGAGTCAGAGTGCGTAGCCTGGGCAGGAGCCCTAGGCTGTGGGGCCCCAAGCTCAAAGGGACACCCGATCTCCTCCTTGCAGATCTCTCCCCGGGCGCTCTTCCGCTGAGACGTCTCTGGCCCTGTGCAGCCACTGCACGTTCTGAGCCGGGTGTGGTGGTGCTCATGATTTAGAGACCCTGTCTTCATAAAAAAGGGCTGGGGATGTGCTCCGTGTGAGGCCCGGGGTTCAGCCCCCAGCACTCTCCCCACCATAATCAATCAATCAATCAATCAATTTACATCCTGGCTTTGAAGCATATCCAGCTAGAATTTTTTTTAAAGAATACATTATTTTGAGTTACCTAGCGACCATCGATGTCAAGCAGAACTCTTATGTCAAGCATCTGTCAGCACTTATTTGCCAGTATGACTCAGATGGTTCTGGAAGCTTGAATGTTACAATGCCGTATTATTAGATGAATATTTTGTGGGGATGGCGCAAACTTGCCGGGCAAGTGTTTTGTCACTGAGCTGTGCCCGGCCCAGCAGTGCTGTGTTTTCGGGTTGTCCCTGGGACCAGCGCCGCGCTGGGAGCAGCGGCTCACTGGGCTCTGCTTCCTCTTCAGTGTCTCCCGTCAGCAATTGTGAGCTTTGCTGTTTCCAGGAGCAACATCAATGTGGTGAGTGGGGCCTTCTTGTACCCTCCGCAGTCCTGGAGGAAGCCCTGCATGAGACAGGAGTCTGGTGGGGAGGTGGGTGCCAGGGTTCCCAGGGTCACCCCCAATGGCAAGGCACCCCCACCCTCAGGTCCCAGGGTCAGTCAGGATTTTCTGTGACCTGGAATTCAGCAGATGTTGCCTTTCCTCCGTTAGCTGTGCAAAGAAGGAACCCTGCCCCGTTGCCTTTCAGATCCCCAACTTCCAGATATTGTTTGTTTCCACATTTGCCGTCACCACGACCTGCTTGATTTGGTTTGGATGCAAACTCATTCTGAACCCATCGGCAATAAACGTGAGTCACTGGACTTGTGTGGGTTGCACACGGCTTTCCCGTTCCACTGGGACTGTGTCCTCCTGCGATGATGCTACACACTCTGCTCACATCCGGGGGTGGGAGGGATGCTGCTGGCTGAGGTGGAAATGCGCTGTTTGACCAGGGTTGAAGGTTTTGCCTGTGTTTCCAAAGAAAAGAATTATCTCTATTGAATGAACTCTTGTCTTTAATTCCAGTGGGCAGATTTATTGATAAACAATATTTTAATATCTCTTCCACAACAGCTGTTAAAAATTAACAGTAACAGCTGAGGGTGTGGCTCAGTGGTAGAGCACTTGCCTGGCCTATGCAAGGCCCTAGCGCAAATTCCAGCACCGCAAAATAATAATAAAATAATAACAATAATAATAATAACCCCATGCTTCATCAAACCTCTGGTCCTATTAATTGTAAGACATAATTCTATGTGCTACTACAAAAAATAGGAAAGCATACTCATTCAAAGTATAATGCGCAAAGAGAGAAATCTTACTGAAAACCGAGGTGTTCTCACCAGTCTTGGAACGCAAGAAAAAGGAAGTTTGAGGGTGTGGAAGGAATCCCTAGCCTGCCATGCAGCAAGAGATAGTGACTGCTTACCCGATACCAGAATTGTTAAGGGCATGTGGCAAAGTTACTGGAAGTGAAAATCAGTGTGAAACTTTAATTGTACCAGCAACAAAATTTGAAAGTGTCCTAAATACAGATGCCATTTTATATAGTTAAGTACGCATGAATTCATTTCCTGGGAAAACAGCCGACAAGAGAATTGCCAGACAGGTAGATGTGACACTGCTCTCTTAGAGACATCCTGGACATAAGAGGGCAAGACAGGCAGGTAACTGTGTCACAGGAGGGGTCCAAGCGGACACCCCTGCAGTCGAGGCCCCTTGAGGAATAGGTTGGGGACATGTACCCCCACAGCTAAGATTACTAGAAAACCATCCCCAAAATAGGGTAGGCTTGGTGCAGGGTGAGGGAGATGTCTGGTGGGTCTGCCCAGAGCTGCCCCACACGTGTGGACCACAGTTGGCGCCGGGACATAAGCAAGTGCTGCAGGTCCTCTGCTTCCCGTCTGTCATGGAGATCCACAACTGGCAAAGGCACAACTAGGAGAGATCATCTGTCCTCACAGACATAGGAGCATGCCATGAGGGAGAGTGACGGAGGGAGAAGTGGCCCATCTGGGTGCATCCTGTGGTCCCTGTAGGGAGAGGGGTGTTCCAGAGAAGCCGCATGGCAAGCTAAAGCTGGGGCAGAGGAAGACATGGGGCTGCCTGTTGCTGGCCCTGCAGGCTCAGCTCCTGTCTAGGGTAACTCTGGCGCCCACTGCTGGCCCTTCGGAGAACATTAGGGATTTGCAGGTACATTCTGAAGCAGAGCTTGGAGACGGTGCTTGCCCAACCTGTACCAGGAAGTGTGTATCAGGTCAGAGCAGCAGCACCTGTCAGTAAAAACCCAACACAAACCCACGTGCTTCGCCCAGAGCCTGAACGTGCAGACAGGAGACAGAACGAAACTGAGAGATGCGTAGGCCTGCGTCTGCCTGGCCGTGCTAGTGTTGACTGTGTGCTGGCAGCCCTGGCCTCCCCAGAGCTCACACCTGCAGAACCTGTGCCCCACCTGGGCCAGGCATCAGCATCCACAGGTAGCCAAACCCCAGTGAGTGCTGGGGGTCACTGAGCAATGGCCACCTCAGCCAGGTGGGGGCCCTCAGGACGTGGTTGAGCTCAGAGATGGTCTGGTTGGAGGACTTAGAAGTAGGTGGTGAAATAGGACATTCGAGGACATGGTTCTGTCTGTGCAAGTGGGCGGGGGGCCAGGTATACTGCTCTGTGTGCCACACTACTGTCCCATCAGCCTGTCCCTGGGTCCCCTTGGGTGTGTGCCCCTGACACATGGCCGCAGAGTCTGCCTGTTCTCCCCTCCCCTCCATCTCTTCCTGTGTGTGTGGAGCCCGTCCCTCTCCGGGCTCCCAACTGCAGGGGGCACCCGCATCTTACTGGTAGGTGGCATGCAGACCTGGTACCTGGCACCACTCCCATACCAGCCGACAGGGATACGTTTCTTTGCAGCCTTTGATACCAGCGGCCTCTGCTCGTGGTTGTCCCTATGTTGTCCGCTCACCCAGAGCATAGCTCTGCTCTACACCTGTACCCCAGCCTGTGGTCCTTGTCCCCACTTCTCCCACCTTGGTGTCTTCGGCCCCCACTGTTCTTCATGAGAGGATGGCAGAGATGATGACTTTTCTCCACGTCTTCTCGGCATGGTCATTTATAGAGAGCCCTTCCTAGTCCTTGCTGGAGTCTGAAAAGTTTATATTTATGATCCCATGAAGAAGTTGTTGGACTTCTAGTGAGTTAACTCCAATCTACCACTTCCAGTGCAACCCATGGCCAGAATAAAGACACTAATGCAGGGGCTGGGGATTTAGCTCAGCGGCAAAAGCGCCTGCCTTGCAAGCGCAACGTCGTGAGTTCGGTTCCCGGTACCAGAGAAAAACCAAAAACAACAACAACAACAACAAGACACTAATGCATATTCATAGTTATAGGGAGCCAAGGAGGTCCTAAGTCCAGCTACAACAATGGCTAACTGGAACAAAGGCCTTGACCCAGGGCTGAACCTGGATTTTATTAATTCACGAAGAGTGGAGTGGCTTGAGAATAGTGGGAAGTCTGTGACTGCTGTGAGCTGGGCTAGGTAGTCTAGATCACCTCTGCAATATGCAGAGAGAAGGGTATACCGGAAGAGTAACCTGCATGACACAACCGAGATAATATGTGATGTTTGGGGTCAGTGCCTCAGCTCTGATGTGTGATCTTTTATGCCCTGGGAAGTCATAGCTGCTTAGCGCGAGGCTCCACCCCAGCCCACAGCGTGGAGCACAGCTCTCCATCCTGCCTCCTGCCTCGGCCTGGCTCACACGTGTTTTATTTGGGTGCTGTGGGGGTGGGGACACGCTGCCCTGTCATCTTTGCTTCAAGGAGTGCACATCAGCACCTCGCTGGGCTGATTTGCATTGCAGCTGAGGGGATAAAGAAAAGTCCCAGCCAGCTCTGTGCACATCCGTACATGGAAGCAGGGCCAGGTTCAGCCCAAACGGAGACAGTTGCTCCTCCTTCAAGGAGAGTGGCCCAGCTGGTCCTCCACAGTTTGGGCACACCAGGCAAGTTCTCTACTGCTGAGCTACATCCCTGGGCTTTTTCATTTTATTTTGAGACAGGGTCTTGCTGAGTTGCCTAGGCTGGCCTTGAACATGCAATCCTTCTGCCTCGGCCTCCTGAGTACCTACCTTTATGTAATTTGAGGCACTATTGTTAGTTGAATATGTTTCTACATTCTTTTTTTTATAATTTCATTTTTTAAATTATCAAACTGACTTTGCACTATTTACTTGTGGTGCTGGGGAATCAAGCCCAGGGCTTTGCATGTGCAGGCAAGTGCTCCATGGCCAAACTGCAGCTCAGTGTGGCTGCATGAGTGTGAGCAAGTGTGCAGACTCGTACACCTGCCCACACGTTGGGAGCCTGAGTAGCTCCGTCCCCTCCAAAGCCCTGTGTGTGCAGAGCTGTTGTAAGCCAGGCTTTTTGTGAACGAGGAAGATTGGTTGGGGGCAGGCGGATGGGCTGGGGCCGAGAGCACCCCCACCAGCCTCTTCTCCTCCGAGGGAGAGGGGGTGAAGCCCAGGACCCTGCAGCCTGAGGGTGGCCACCCAGGCTCAGCGAGGAGCCTGGTGGTGCAGAGGGCTGGGCTTCCTGGGAGGTGCTGAGCCCTTGCCCCTGCTCCCCTGCAGATAAACTTCAACCTCATCCTGCTCCTCCTGCTGGAGCTTCTCATGGCGGCCACTGTCATCATCTCAGCACGCTCAAGCGAGGAGCCCTGCGGGAAGAAGAAGGTGGGTGCTCAAGGGCTCCCCATGCGCATTGCAGGCCACAAGGGCTGGCGTGGGTGGGTCCAGGGGCCATGGGTAGGGAGCACACTGCCTCTCCCTGTGTGGCCCCACCTCACGGGCCCCAGCAGTGTCACAGGGAGAGATCGAATCTGCTAACACTGTCTGTGAACTGTAGTGTGGCCTCCGTGACCTGACCCATGTCAGCGGGGGCCAGCCTGACCCCTCACGTGGCAGCAGGCACTGCCACCAAGCAGAAGCCCCAGTTTCCTGTGTGTGGTGGCTCAACATGACTGTATCTGTCCAGGGCTCCGTGTCTGACAGCACCCATACCTTGGATGAAGTGACATTTCCTGCTCGGCTCCTGAAGTCCTACTCTGTGAGAAAAACTTCCCTTGTCTTATTTACCTTATTTTATCTTACTGGGAGGGTGCATATGCAGCTGGATTAAGTCTTTATGTGTATTAAGATGACCAGGACGGTGCAGACCACAGGTGTGAGGCCCCAGCCTCACCTGTGAAAGGGATTTCAGCCCATTTCCAGTGCTGTCGACAAGACGCTTTGCCTTAAGAGGTGCCGGTGCGCTTGAGTTTGCAGGAGTTTCCAGGGTTTGATGACACACCGATGTGGTGGTACAGAGTGGCCAGCTGGCCCCTCCTGAGGACATGTGGGGAGGGTCCCGGCTGCCTCCTGCTGTCATCATCTCTGTCTCGAAAGCACTTTCCATTTTTTGTTGTTTGCTTCTTCGTTTTGGTTTACTTGTGCCACTGGCGAAAGACTGGTTAAAAACCTCCCAATCCAACTGCGGTGTTACTGATTTCTCTTTGTAATTCTGCTGCTTTCTGACGTAGATTTTGGACCCCATGTTTGGAGTTTCGAACAAGCTTAGAAGTGCTCCCTGGTGAATTTTACTTTTGTCATCATTGTGTGAGGACTCTCTTTATCTTTAAAAACGTTTTTAATATAAAATCGGTATTCATTGAAGCCCATTGATTGTATTTTCATTAATATTTGCTTAGTGTGTCTTTCTCCTTCTGACTTATGACTTTTCTGGTCCTTGTTAGATTGTAGTGTTTCTTTTTTTTTTTTTTTTTTTTTTTTGGTTTTTCTCTGGTACTGGGAACCGAACTCACGACCTTGCGCTTGCCAGGCAGGCGCTTTGCCACTGAGCTAAATCCCCAGCCCCCTGATTGTAGTGTTTCTCACAAGTAGTGCAGAGCTTTCATTTGGGGGTCAAATTTGTCATTCTCTCCTTAGCCTTCTGAATTTAGCCGTTGGAGAGAGGCTGTGGTGTGCTTATGTTTGTTTTCACGACCTTTTTTAGTTTTCTGCTTTTCCCGACTTCTTTTTGAGCCCTGCCTTCTCGCCCTCACCACCGCCCGTGCCTGCTCTCAGCTGGCCTTACCCCTCGGCTTCCCTGCTGCCTCGCTGTTTCCTTCTCCTGCACGCTCTCCCTGGAGACAGTCCGTGGCTGTGATAGGCGTTTTCAGTTTTCTGCTGTTTCCCCTCATTCTTGAGAGGAAGCTTTGCCCCGCATTCCAGGCTGGCGGTTTCCCCTGAGCACCTGTCAGTTCCTCTGTCTGCGGTGGCCCCGTGGCTGGCCTTCGCTGTGAGCTCCCTGCCTCTGGAGGTTTCTGTCCATGTCAGGGTTGCCGTCAGGTGGTTGCTCTGTTTTTCTTCACCTCTGTGGGTCTTGTGGCTCTGAATGCAGGAGGCCTGGTGGCCGTCCACCCCCAGCTGGAGCCCCTGTGGCCTCACGGTCAGGTTGGGACTGGGCTCTGCAGGGAGCCCAGCTGCTGGCCCAGGTGGCTCCAGCCACGTCCCAGGCTGTCTTGTGACTTTTCCCCGTCAGCCTGAGAGTGCAGCATCTGCCAGCCACACTGGCCCTGGGAGGCCCACGTCCGCACTCTGTGCTCTAGGGACCCGGGCCTACTTCTCAGGACGGCACAGAACCTTGGTGTGGTGGCCCAGGACAGCGACACTGTCCCATTGTCCCCTACAGGTGGTCGAGGTGATTGCTGGCATCTCTGCTGTCCTTGGTGGTGTCATTGCCCTGAACGTGGACGACGCTGTCTCAGGCCCGCACCTGTCAGTGACCTTCTTTTGGATCTTGGTGGCCGTGAGTACTTCCTGGCTGGTGGCTGAGGTTCTGGGCTTCCTCCTCAGACCTGACGGGCGTGGTGGTTGGCAGGCTCGTTTTGGGGCACCAAGTCAGGAAAGCGTCCTGAGAGGGATCCACTGGCCCCCGTCCTGTCCAGCAGGATGAGTCTGTGTATAATTTTGTACTAACTGCTGTTACTGTCTTATATAACTTTTATTATTTTTCTGAAGAAAACCAAATATTTTTATTATTCTGAACAATTTTATAACATAAATTTTATAAAATGGAATGTTATAATTATTAAATTAAATGTTCCTATAGCAAACATTTAGCATAGTGCAAGCACCAGGATGTGCCTCACTCGGTCCTGCTGTCCTGTCACACGGTCCAGCTGTCTGTCAGTCACTGCCCTCAGAGCTCACCTGCACCCTCGAGTTGCTCAGTGCACAAGAAGTGCATCTAGTGTGCTCTACTCAGCCACGGCTGCAGCCAGATCTAGGCTCCTGATACCCTTCAGAGCAGTTGGTCCAGAGTGGCCCCTCCACCTGCCACGTGACATCCCAGACCACTGTCCATCTGTGCCTTGCACCTGCAGACTTTGCACCTGCCATCCCACTGGTTTGTCCCACGTTACTGTCTGCTGCATGGATTTTTAGTTTGGTGCCTGGTGCCCGGTGCCTGGCATCATACAGAAGTGAGGACGTCACAGTGGCATCCTCTGTGCACCCTGGGCTCCCCCAAGTAAGCGGAGCTCAGAGACGTGGGCCCTGGGGGGTGCACTGACTCGGTGGCCTTGGACCCTGGGGGCCCTAGGACAGGCACAGGGCCGGTCCTGGACAGAGCCTCTCACAGGGCAGCTGTGCAGGCTGCGACGGCGCATGACACAGCCTAAGCGCATGTCTGGCCTCTGTGGTCTGAGGATGGAGGCTGTGCGATCACATCCAGGGCTCACTGAAAACAGAGGCCACATTCATGATGGAGACGTTGTCTTTGTCCCTCCCCAACCCACGGTCAACCCTGACATGACCTCCCCGAGACGCTGCTTACCAGAGAGCACGCTGAGCCCACCATGTCCTCTCCCTGTCCCCTAACCAGCCCCAAGCCCCGACGCAGCCTCTCTCGCGCTCCAGGGTGGACGCAGCTGGGAGGGGTAGGGATGCAAGGAGGTGGTGGGGCTCCAGGTGGGGCCAGACCCTGTGCGGCAAGAGGGCAGGACAGCGATCTCCAACCCACATTGGTGGGAGTTAGTCATGGGGCACCGCAGGCGCCCTGGCACGGCACGTCCTCCCCTGAGGAAGGAAAGGAGCTTGAGAGCCAGAAACGAGGCAGGGCAGGGCTCACCAGGCCCTTCTGGGCATCTGCAGCCCAGGGCTGAAGGCCCGGGGGACGGCTGGAGGCACATGCAGACGGCAGCCACCTCCTGGTGTGCTCGCTGTGCCTGTCTGTGTGCAGCTGGGTCAGCTTGTTAAAGTGGAAGGTTTCTGAGTTGCAGAGAGGAAAGGACCCCGCCTGTGGCCCGGGTCAGCACCCGGGGGAGAGAGTGCCTGAGACCCATCACCAAGGGGTGCTGCCTCACCAGCGAGGAGTCTGTGTGCAGGGGCCACACCCCTCAGAAACGACCAGGCCATGGGGCTGGCAGAGGCCACATTCCTGGGGATAGAGACGACACAGGCACAGAGCAGTCGCTCTTTGGGTCCTGGGTCAGGGGAGATTGTTTCAGAAAAGGCACCTTGGGACAACTGGGGGTTGGACATGGGCATGCTGGATCACGCTGCTGAGCCCATGTCCACCAGGCGTGGCAGCTCGAAGCGCGTGAGGATGTCCCCATGTGTGGCCACACCCAGGGTGACAGGCATGAGTGGAACAGAGGGCACAGATGTCCCTGAGGCAGCGCTGGGGCTCTGCAGGTCACTGGCCCATTCTCGCAGCTTTTTGGTAGGCCTAAAGTTTTAAATAAAGTCTTGAGGAATGTGAGTCCACGGAGCCTGTGTAAGGGTACCCTGACTCCCACCACTCTCGGGGACCAGCCAGGCCACCTGTCCTGCCCTGTATGGAGTGGGTATCGTGTTATAATGGAAACCACGAGCCTGGACTCTGACGTGCTCCAAAGTCCTTTTCATTCTCTCGTAGTGCTTTCCGAGTGCCATCGCCAGTCATGTGACAGCGGAGTGTCCCAGCCAGTGTCTGGTAGGTGAGGGCCTGTCTCGTCCACAGTGCCAGGGGTGAGGCTCCATGGCAGCTGCAGGGGCTGCACGCAGGGCCAGGCAGAGAGGCCAGCAAGCTGGGTGGGCTGAGGCTGGCACTGCTGTCCCACAAAGCATAGTCGTCCCCAGGGCCCCTGCGTTGGTGCCGTCTGTGAAAACATGGAGAGAACCTGCCTATATGTGTGCATGCATGTGTGTATGTATGTGCGTGCGTGCATGTGTGTGTGTGTGAGAAGAAATTCCCAACACTAAGAGGGAGGAAGGATGTGTTCAGTACACTCACTACTTGCTGCTGCTTGTGGGGCCAGTGCTGCTGTGAGGACCACGGCTGATTTGGAGGCCAATGCTCTGCCAGGTGAGTGTCCACACCCACTGCCAAGGCTGTGTGGCCTCTGCTTCTGAGATGATGAAGACTCTACCCGAGGTCTTGGGCGAGGTTACAAGAACAGATTCAAAAGAGTGGAAGAGGTGAGTGGTCCCCAGGGGTTATTTTTACAACAGGCTGGAGAACTGTGTGTGATCCGAGTGGTGCACGTGGCATGCTCTGAGTCAGTGGGCAGAGAGCTTAGCGAGACCCGCACCCACCCCAGCGGCTGCAGTTCACCCTCCCTCCCTGGATCTGCTTCCCAACCAGGTTGAGGTGTTGATCGCCATCAGCAGCCTCACGTCCCCACTGTTGTTCACGGCCTCTGGGTACCTGTCCTTCAGCGTGATGAGAGTGGTGGAGATTTTCAAAGACTACCCACCAGCCATCAAAGTATGTACTCACTCCCATGGCTCTGAAACTAGAAATAGCTCTGCTTGCTGCCAGCTTGAAGCTAAGAAGTCTTTGGGTAGTGGCCAGGTCAGATGGGCACTGACTTTGCGGAGTCAGATGTGGGTAGCATCGGTTTACCTGCGTGAGGTGGGATTTGATTTGCTTTTCTTGAGGACCACAGCATGGCTTCCCCAGCCCTTGGCCGGCCTGGTCTGTCCCTGCTGCCATCAACAGTGTCCTGCTTGGTTTCTGCCTAGGCTGCTTCTGCGTTTCTAGCTCTGGGTCCACCCAGTCTTTGTGCAGCCCTGTAAGAGGCCACCGCCTCCTTCACCTTTTCTATGCCCTGGGCATCCATGCACACTTCAGAGCACTTGTGACTTTATGAGACTCTGTACTGGGATTTCAATGAAAATTGCACAGAATTTAGACCAATCTGGGCAGACCTGAGGGTGTGGTGAGTTTGCACCTCTCCACGTGATGCTTCTCCACTGGAGATTCTCCGGCCTTTGAGTCACGTCTCAAGACATCATCCCTGAGGCTCAGGCACATGGACGTAGACTTTCTTCTGCACAAATGGTGTTTCCTCTGCACATGTAAGAGGATAGTATGGTGCAGTGGTTTTTTCATACTGAAATGTCATAGTCACTTTCTTGTCTCTGGGACATGATAGCTGACACAGTTTAAAGGAGGGGAGGCTTGCTTTGGCTCACAGTTGGTCCTCAGTTGGCAGAAATAGCATGGTGGAGGACATATGGCGGAAAAACTGCTCACATTGTGGTGGCCAGGAAGTGGGGCGAGTGAAGAGTGGAGCTGGAGAAAGATGCACACTCTCTCAGCCCACGCCCCCAGCGACTCACCTGCAGCCAGGCTGCACCTTCAGGAGCACATTCAGTACAGCACCCCATGATCCAGTCACTGTCCAAACACATGAGGCTTTGGGGGACATTTTTTAACTAAACCATAGCATGGAGATTGAACCCAGGGCCTTTCTACTGAGCTACATCCTCAACCCTTTTGTTTTTTTTTATCTTGAGAGGGTCTTGCTAAGTTGCTACATTGCTAAGTTGCCCGGGCTGGGTTTTCTGTGTGCTCTGAGCAACCACATGTGTTTCAGAGGAGTTGTGGTTTTATGAGGCACTGCTCTGGATTTCAGTTGGCTTGGAGTCTATAGATCCATCTGAAGAGACTAGAAAGTGCTGTGACTTTGTACCTTCCCTGTATGAAGTATCTCCAAAGGAGACTTCTTGAGATCTTCTTGTCTCACTCTCCCTGGGTGCTGGGACTACAGATGTGCACCATGCCTGGCCTCAGTGGCTCACCCGGGGTATACACTGCTGACACTGATGGTGGACAGAACTCTCTGGAAGTGAGTGTCACATCTTCACAACTTGACCCTTCCCCTGAATCTAGATGAAGGAATGTTTTGATGCACTGACAGTGGAAAAAAGACCGGGCCTGGGGTCTCAGCTGTGCTGGGGCTTTGGCTGAAGGGAGGCAGCAACTGGTCCACGGAGTGACTGAGCTCCTGCTCCAGGAATGAAGCGGGCATCAGGGCTTACGGATTTGCCGGTGGGCTGGAGTCTGGTGATTCTTGTGGGCCAGGGCCACGGTTCTGAAAGATCTTCCTCTGGCTGGACTCTGTTATCTCACCCCAGAGACTGCTGAATCTTTCTGTATCTGGTGCCATCGTCCTGCACAAACATCCCAGCCTTGTGGGTTCAGGCCCCTGTGACGGGCAGAAGGACCCTGGGGGCGTGGGTATTAGTGGCTTCTGAAGCAGCACAAGGCTAGAGGCAGAACAGAGGAGAGAGACAGAAATAAAAGTGCATCCAGGTCCAATGGGTGACAGGCAGTTAACCTCGTCCTGCAGTCTTGGACAGAACATTCCCAAACGGTCAGTGTGCCGGTTTCCACTCGCAGAGCTGAGACTCTGACCCAAGGGTTGCGACAGCGCAGATGACACACACTGTGGGGACAGAGAATCCAAGCTCGCGCCCTGTTCCAGCTGCCCACCAGACATCTGCAGCCCGAGGGAAGAGTTCATGTTTCAGTGAGAGTGGCCGTCAGGTCCCCAGAGGTAGCCAGGCAGCGGGCGTCACACCCTGGGGGTCAGAGGCGTCACCGCAGCAAAGCCAGGGGACCAGCACTGCGCTGCCCGGCTGTGCGGCTCCATGGGGACGGATTTGTAAGCGGACCAGGAGCAAGTGAAGCCAGCCAGAGGGCTTGTTCTTTTCTTGGTAACATTCACACTTCACGTACATCTTTCACTTTTCTGGTCTTACAGAGGCCTCAGGACAGGTCTGTTCAAATGTGCCGTGCCACAAAGGGTGCCATTCACTGTGCCCAGGGCCTCATTTTCTTGTCCCAGCCTTCTGTCCCACCATGGTGGTCACTGACTGTCTCACACCTTTCTGCACTTTGGTATTTCTAAAAGTATGAACAGTCCCCTGCACGTCACAATCTCATTATCACACCTGACGTAGTCAGCATTATCACACGGCTCAACGTCCAGCCCATGTGTGGGGCCCTTGTACCGGGTGTCAGGCCACTTTGGGCTCCTCTGTTCAGGCCCTCCTTCCTCTCAGGACTCTATCTGGGCAGTGGTCCCAGCTCTGCGCCCCTGTCCTGCACTCCCTTCTCCAGGGTGCAGGCTTCTTGTGTCCAGCTCTGGCTCCGTGTGGTGTCCTCTCCCCAGCACCCTCCCCAGGGCTGGTGTTGGCAGCTGTTCCTCTCGGTGCCTTTCTCACCTGGGAGTAGAAGGAAGGTGAGGCTGGGTCTCACCTTCCTACGCACTCCTGGAAAGGCAAGCGTATGGCAGATGTTTTCTTTTTCTTTGGGGCAGTGCACCACAGAGGATGTACCAGTTTTCAACATTTTCAGTGTTGTAACCACCCTCAGTGCAGCCCAGATGTGGCCAGTAGGGCACTGTGCTCCTGGGGACACTGGTTCAGCACGCACTCTCTGTCCCAGGTGCCTGTCCCTTGGGTGGGGGATGGAACACAGGTCTGGAGACCAGGGTTGTGGCCTTCCTCAGGAGCACTGCTGCTGGGGCTTTCCCTGGACAGAGCTGGCAAGAACCCATGTTTTAAAGACCATGCATTTGTATCGATATTTCTAACTCCAATTTAACATGCCAGGTCTTTTTTAAGGGGGGGAAAAACCCTTTTAAATTTGCATCTCTTTGCTCTTACGCTAAAGCAGAGCTGTTTCCTGCAACATTCAGGGCCCTTACTATGATGCTTATTTATTTTGCAGTGCTGGGGATTGAACCCAGGGCTGTGTGCCTGCTAGGCAAGTGCTCTATCATTGAGCTGTGCCCGGCCACTTGCTTTAGTTTGCCTTACAAGGCATACAAAATTGTTCTCAGTTACAAGAGACCAGTGTCACTGCCTATGGCCACCAACTGGGCAAGCTGAAGCCTTCCTTTTGCTTTAACATTCACCCTAGCAGGGACAGTCATGTCTGTGTGAAGCAGTCACTTCCGTGTGTGTGTGCTATTGATTTGAAATAGTTAAGTTCAGTGGCATCTAGTTGGACTCAATTGTAAGGTTTGGTTCTTTTTCCCTTTTTAAATGATATTTTAAAATACTGAACACAATTTGCATGGTTCCAAAGCCAAAGTGGTGAGACAGGTCCATTCAGAAGCCAGGGAGCCAGCCCTGTCCATCTGCCCATCTCATAGGCAAAAGTATTAAATGATTTTCCTCCTGTCCTTCCAAAGCAGGTCACGCACTATAATCACCATTCTCCACAATTTATCCTGCTGTTTGCTGGGCACCCACGTGGACCAGAGCTCTTCCTCTCCTTCGTAGTTCTGTGCAAATGTAACTCAGCTGGCCCACGCTGGCCCTAGGATGGAAGCTGGGTTATATTTAGCGTCTCCTATTGGGAATAACTCCTGGTGATCAATCTTGTAGAAGGGCTCCATTTTGAATCCAAGCCATCTATTTCCGGGATAATTAGCTGGGAGAGGAGCTGCAAGATCAGAGGGAAGATGCATCTATGACACACTACATCTCAGCTAGTTCCCCCGGGGCTGGCGGGAGCCGGGGGCACCTGCTGCCTGGCAGCCACTGTCCACGTAAAGTTAATGACTGCTGCACAGAGCAGGCACAGCTCAGCAGGAGGGGTGGGAGCACCTTTGGCGGCCAAAGGGTGCCCCCATTTCCTGACCAGCAAACTGGGGACCGTGCTGTTGGAGGGACTGCCCTCCACATGCAAGGCAGGTGCAGAGCCTCAGCCCTGTTCTGCTCGGGACCCTCATGAGTGAAGGCCCCTTGTATTTGTATGCTGACGTGCTCACTACTTCCCCCACGCACTGGGCTGTAAATCATCGTGTTTCCTGTGACCCGTGACGGAGGGTGCAGCCTCTTCTGCACATGTACACCCCAGCATGAGCCACAGTGCTCTGTCCTCGGCTCTCCTGGTGGCTGTTGCGGTGGGAAGGCGGCTGCACACCCACAGTGCTCAGCACCTTCATACCTGTGTGCTGAACCAGGCCAACAGGAGTCGTAGCAGGATTGAGGGAGCTGGGATGATTGCTGTCCAGGCTACTGGAAAGGGGAGAACACGTCTGGGCCACCAGGGCTTGGTGTGGTGAACGTGGCTGTTGCAGGGAAGGCCTAGGGCGGCAGGAGTGTCCACAGGGGCCACGGGGCCTGGCAGCCGCTCCGCTGCTCATGCCTCCCTCTGCCCGCAGGCCTATGACGTGCTGCTGCTGCTGTTGCTGCTTGTGCTGCTCCTGCAGGGCGGCCTCAACACAGGGACTGCTGTGCTGTGTGTGAGCTTCAAGGCCAGTGCCAGGCTGCAGGGCCCATCCTGGGAGGCCTCGGCTGGCCCGCAGGAGCGCCCCGCCGGGGAGGTGAGTGGCCATCCTGGGTCTCCAAGGGCATGAGGTGGCCTCCACGTCACTCTGTTTATAAAATACCCCAGAAAAGTCTTGAAAACATAAAAAATGAAATATGTTATTTTTAAAATGACGAGGCACACACAAGCCCTTTCCTGAGAAGTATTCTGGCCTTGGGATACTCGAGTCTCAGCTTGTAGGCACAGCCAGGCAGTGCAGGGTCCCCAGAGGCCCAGGGTTTCCTTGCTGTCCCTCCAGGGGAGGTTGTGCCCGCCTAGCCTGGCACATGGCGCTTCCTGCCCTGGGCACTGAGCATTCCACCCCTTCAGCCAGAACACACCACCGGGACAAAACCCTCCCTGCCTCTTGCCCTCGCCTCAGCCCTGCATCCCGATGCCCCCCACAAGTGAAAGTTGGGGCTCAGCAGCTCCTCCCCATGGGCCACCCGTTCCGGTGGTGTCACCCTTGGGCACACATGCCCACCGCCCTCTGGTCTCTGTGCCCCAGAGAGGGACCCAGGCTGGCCTGGCTTTGGGTTTCTAGCTCTTTCCCTAGTCCCTCTGAGAGAGACCCCTGGATCTGTGTCACAGCCAGCAAGGTGCAGAGTCGGGCGGATGGGTTGCTGGGGCATTACCTCGTCACCTCGGGTCAGAGGTCCTTTCCTTTGGCCGCCGGGTGCAGACCTGCTCGCACCACCGAGAGTGAGGGGCCCCAGCACTTCAGGAGAGTGAGTGGAGGTCTTTCCTCTTTCCTGGAGGCTCCAGGACTTCTCTTTCCTTCACTCGCAGACAAACCCCTACCCCAGGAGCACGCTGGATGGCACCCCCGCATGGCCCTGGCGAGGTGACACCTCCGCAGGTGTGGCCCTGATGACACCGTCCCTGTCTCCATCACAGGTGGCCAGAAGCCCCTTGAAGGAGTTCGACAAAGAAAAAGCCTGGAGAGCCGTCGTGGTGCAGATGGCCCAGTGACTGCAGGACGGGAAACTGAGCCACACGTGCCGCCTGCCCGGCCCTCAGCACTCAGCCTTGCAGACCCTGTCCTCCGCCCCTACTTTCTAACACGTCTCCTCCCTCCTTAGGGCAGCCCAGACTGCGAGGGACCTTGTTTCTTACCATAGTTTAACTCTGAAATAGGCAAATAGCAAAAGTTCAGTGCCTCATTGGGCAGAGTTCTGGGACTCCTGGTAGCCTCACTGCATGGGGCTCCTGGGCTCGGGGAGGCTCTAGCCCTGTGAGCAGAGGAGTCCGGGTGGATGGTGGACCTCAGCCTGGCTTCGTCTGTGCTCCGTGTGCTGCCCCTGTGGGCACTGCTTGGTCCAGGCCTTTCTTTCTGAGATGCCCTCACCAGCTTGCCTGCCACACACAGTGTCCCCCTGATGAGAGTGAGATGCAGCTGCAGCACCCACTAGCTGAGCTGCCACCACCTTTGCACCTAAAATCCACACCTAGGGTCCTGCCCACTCTTCTTAGGAACTGACACCAGTCCCTGCAAAAGGCCACCTTCCCCTGGTCTGGCAATGCCCCAGAATGTCCGCATGTCCAGGGAAGCTCTGCAAAGCCACTGTGACAGCTCAGTGTCCTCTGGGGTGGGGCTGAGTTTCAGCCTTTGTGACTGACCGCTTCGTGACAAAGACAGCTGAAACAGCCCCTCCCTCCACGCCTGGCCTGCTCCTGAAGGACCGACCCCACCTGAGCTGGGCGACACCTGGCGTCCCCGGCCCGCCACCTCCTTCCTCACTCGTCTTCCTAACTCACTGCATCCAGCCTGGCCCAGTGTCTCCTGCCGTGAGGCTGGTATTCCTCAGTCTCAGGCATTTGCCCACCTCCACCGGGCCCACCTGTCACCCCACGGGCTAGGCTGCAGGGACAGTTTGGTGTGACATTAGCTTTGGAGTTGGTTGGGTACCATCCCCACATGCCTGGAGGTCACCTGCAGTCTTCCAGCCATATAGGCACCAGTAAGTCTGCAGTGGGCCAGGTGTCCTGCAAAAACCGGAAGACAAGAACACGCGCTTTCACAAGCTTGGCTGTGCTATTCAGCTCCCAGTGGGGTGGTGCAAAGGCCTGGAGGTGAACCTTGTGGTGTGAGCCCTTCAGGACCAAAGGACCCGTAGACCTGAGACATGAAGTTGGCTGGGGTGGCCTGCCGAGGGGACAGGAGGATGTCCTGGCCTTCCCACCTCTGAACTCAGGTGACCTGGGATGCCAGGATGCATGACAGGTGGGACACAGCCACCTTCTGGGGGCTGGAGAGTCCAGCGTGCAGGGCCAGAACAAGGCAGTGGAACAGCAGTGCTGGCTTGTGCGTTCTCATTTTAGAGCACTTACAAATACTCAGGCATTGAAAAGTTTTAAAAATCATGTCTTCCAATTTACACTTTTGTTTGGAGTAGTTTGGTGCTAGTGAACAATAAACGCTAACCTGCACGTGTGGCCCACAGTGTCTCATGCTGGGTCTCGGAGGACCCGTGGCCAGGTTCTGAAGAGCATGGCGCAAGCATTAGAGCAGAGGGTCTCTCCGGGTGAGTCCTTGCTTCATGAAGGGCTGAGCCAAGCAGCTGAGCGGCCAGCTAGCGTGAGAACCAGAAAGCTGGAAGTCACCACCCGCTCGAGAGGCCGCCCTGGCACCCAGCAGGGCAGCCAGCAGGGCAGCATCCACCAGGGAGGGGAACGCCAGGCTTTGGGAATCAACAGTGGGGGCGCTGATGGGATGGGCAGGTCTGTCCTGGGTGCCAGGTGGAGATGGGGACGCAGACCGAAGCGGCCGAGGTAGGGGAGCACCTAGGGACCAAGACACTCGGCTCAAGACCTGTGGTGGTGGGGGCTCCCAGGAGTGACGCTGGGGGTACCGAGGCCACCGCAGGTCCCTGCCATCCCGTTACCCCCGCCTGTGAGGGGGCAGCCCTGGCCAACAAGGGCACGCAGGGAGTGCAGTGGGGGGGCGGGGGAAGAGGGGCCGCAACGCTCCCCCAGGCGGGCAGGGGCGGGGCCGCGGCAGGGAGGGGCGGGTGTGACCCGCTCTTTGTGACTCTGGGGCTGTGTGACCTGACGGCGGCCGGCCGCGGAGCGCGGGGGCGGGGTCCGGACCCCTCCGCGCTCCCCCGACGACGCATGGCCCGCGCGGCCCCGCGCCCCGGCCCCCGCGCCCAAGACCGCAGCCCGGGACCCGGACCCCCACTCGAAACTGGAGCGGGACCTCGACCCGAGCCCAAACCCGGACCCCGACCCAAAGCCCACGCCCAGGACCGCAGCCCGGGACCCAGACCCCGACTTGGAATCAGACCCAGAACCAGACCCGGGCCAGGATCGGGGTCCCGACCCGGACCCCCACCCGAACTGGAGCCGGCACCAACCTCGCCCTCCGCGAACCGCCGCGTCCCGCCCCACCGCCCGCGCAGCCCCACGCCCCGCGCTGGCCGCCGCCTGGTCCCCAAGGGCCACCGCGGACAAAGGGGTGAGCATGGGCAGAGGGCACTGCGGACCCCGACTCCCCCCGCATGCGCCAGGACCCCCTCCCCTCGGAACCGCAGGCTCTCTTCTCTTCAGGACCCAGACCTGACCCCCAACCTGACCCCCCAGACCTGACCCCTGACCCTGGCTGGAGTCCCAACCCTGACCCGTCCTCACCATCCCAGACCTGATCCCTGCCCCTGATGTGTCCCCATCCCTGACCTCCCTGACCCTCACGGGTCCTCCGACCCCTGACCTGTCCCTGACCCAACTGTCTTGACATTTGACCCCCATGACCTTTGACCTGTCACCCACCACTGACCTCTTCGTCCACTCAGACCTTTTCTCCACCATAATTGTGTTACCTGACCCCAACCTATCCCCCGCCTCCAGCCCTGTCCCCAGACCCCTGACCTTCCCTGCCTGGAACATCACTCCTGTCCTCTCCCCTTGGTTCCTCCCATCTGGCCCGGTCCCCAGGGTCCTGTGGCAGGAGAAGCAAGCTGACCAGGACTGGCATGGAGCTTGTGGAGAGGACACAGCTGTCATCCACCTCCTCAGATGGCACAGGCAGAGGAGAAAGTGAGTACTATGTGTCCCTGTCCTGCCATCCTGGGCCCTGTCTGGGTAGGGGTGGTGTCCAGATCACAGCTGGTGCAGGACCATCCCAGGAAGACGGTGACGGGGGCAGCCAGGCCTGCACCTGCGTGTCACCCCGCCTGGGCTTCTCAGAGTGCCCAGCACAGGCTGTGCTTACCTTGTCAGCCTTGATCTGTGCCCTTTGGTTAATACCTGAAGTCCTAGCGGTGATGCTGCTGTTGCAGGTGGGCACGCGTTCCACTGTGGAGGACCTGCGGTCCCTTGTGCCCTCCCGCAGCCCCTGTGCTCTCCTGGAGGCCGATTCTGTCCTTGTCCCCTGGCCAGCTGATGGCTGCCTGCGGTCTCTGTGCTTTAACACACACGTCCCTCATTTCACACGGAATTGGGGCTGGGCGTGTGTGGGGGGAGCTCACCAGATGCGGGTCCAGAGAGGGTACTGGAGAGGCTGGGGCACTGCTACCTTTGAGTATGCTTGTGGGGATCTCGATGGTTGGGTCAGACATTCCAAGCGGGGACTGGTGCCAGGGAGGCATTGGACCACTTCAGGCCATGTTGTGGGCAACAGGCGATGCCCCTGGAGTAGAGCCACCAAGCTGGGGGTCAGGGGGCCTGAGGGAGCCACTCATCCTCTGACCACACAATTGAGAGGGCCAGAGAGGGTCTCATCCTCAGGACCAGAGTGGCTGGGACAGGCATGGGGGCGGGGGGAGCGGATGAGGAACTTGAATTTGTCGTTGTTGCATTGCTGGGACAAAATATCCAACACCTACAATGTAAAAGAGGAGAGGTTCGTGCTAGCTCACAGTTTCCGTGGGTTCGGTCTGTGGTCAGCTGGTGCCAAGGCAGGAACCTAATGGTGGAGAGCAGAGCAGCCAGGAGGCAGAGAGGGAAGGGAGGAGCCAGGGCCACACCCTCCACAGGCACAGCCCCAGGGCCCCACCTCCAGCCAGGCCACACCTTCTAGCAGTACAGCCGGCAGTGGGTGAATCCACCCATGACACAGTGCCCCATGGTCGAATCTCCTTCCAGAGCTCTGCCGCTGAGCGCAAGGGCTGTGGGGACATCTAGGTGGAAACCATAATAGCAGGGAGCAGCCTGGAGGAGGAATGGCAGGGGCGGAAGGGGCAGAAGCACCGCCAGGGCCTGAGGACTGGGGGGCTGGAGCTCAAGGCGGGGCTCAGGTGTGAGCAGGGTGGACGGTGTGCTCCAAGGGTGGACTGCAGCGACCCCTGGCGTCTGTGTCCTGGTGTCTGGTGTTGGAGTCACTGGCTGACCAAACAGTTGCTTGGACGCTGTTTCCTTTGGTTTGTCTATTTTTCTCCTACAGAACAAAAACAAGGAATTTCTCGAGATTCAGCTTCTTCCCCCAAAATGGACAGATACAGAATGGCAAGACAGTTGACAGACAAGGCAATCAAAGTAAGTACTCAGTGGGAGGGGATACTGTATAGAAATGGGGCTGTAAACTGGGCTCAGTGCCACACATCCGTAATCCCAATACTCTGGGAGGCTGAGGCAGGAGGATTGAGAGTTTGAGCCCAGTCTGGGAGACTCAGTGAGACCCTGCTTCAAAATTTTAAAAAGTAAAGTAAAAGAAAAAAGCTGGGGATGTAGCTCACTGCAAAGGTTCTGGGTTCAATTCCCAGTACCACAAAAAATGGAAGAAAAAGAAGAAATTCATTTTGGAGTCGGGACAGTGTGTCATCCTCGGGCCTGGGCAGCCTTGTCCACACGCGGGCCCAGGCAGCCACACCTCCTGTTCCAGCCATGTGGACTGCAGGTGTGCTGGCAGGTGTTCCGGCAGGTGAGCCAGCGGGTGTTGTGCCCTGCCCCAGCTGCAAAGGGCAGCCGCTACGTCACACTGTCCTGCCGTTGTCCGTTCACCCTGGCAGGAAGCTCCAGGTATCTAGGCCAGGGACAGCCCCTCAGTCACTCAGAGGGCCTGTGGGGTCACTTCACACCCTGTCTCCTGGTGGGGAGCCCTGTGTGGGGTGGAGGAGAGGAACCTGGGAGTCGTGAGACGGCCTTGCCTTTCCCTGGGCTGCCTGTGGGCCGCTCTGCTCTGCCGGAAGGCACACTTGGGTCTGAGGGAGACCGAGAAAGTGCTGGGGTTCTGTAAACGGAAGCAGCAGCTCTGTGTCTGATGCCCCGAGAATGTGAGTGTTGGATAGGCCCCAGAAAGGCTGGTTCTCTGTCTTTACTGCACGTCCACTTCTGTGCCTCCAAGGCCTGGACAGGGCGAGAATACGGGGAAAGTCCTTGCACGCTAGTGATGAGAAGCATCCTCTTCCTGTAACGCTCTTCCAAGGCACAACTTACATAAGACACACACAGTCTGTGCATGCAAAGTGGGTGGTGCCACAGGCCAGACCGGAAGCAGAGCCTTGCACACACTCCTGGCCGGCAGTGTGACCAAGGCCACCGCACCTGTGGCCCTGGGGTGCTCTCCATGGGCTCCGTCCATGGCCTTCTGGCCTTTCTGGAATTTCATAAGAGGAGTCCCCTACCAGCTCCTTTTCAGATTTTCTTCTGGAACTTCGGAAAGTGTGGGCGCTTAGTGCTATAAATATCCCCCTCGATGCCACTTCCACTGTGTTTCTCACACTTTTATTTTGTAGCGTTTTTTTAACATTCAGTCCAGAGTATTTTATAAATTTATATTACTACTTTTACACAGACTCATGTGTTACTTGAAAGCGTGGCTCTTAATGTCTATGCTGTGGATTTTTGCAGCTATAATTGTTTTGTCTTCTAGCTGCTTTGCACAGTGATTGAGAATGTGATTTATGTGGTCATTCCACGGAGCTTTATGAGACTGGCTCTGTGTCTGACCTGGTGTTGTTACATGGGAGCGTCTGTGTGGGCCGCTCTGTCTGCGGGGAAGAGTTGGGAACCCAAGTTCGAGTTTTCTGTGACCCTGTTCTGCCACTGACAGAGACGCAGGTAGAGGTGCCCACCTTGTGGATTTCTGCTTTATAGAATTCCTGTCCTCTTCATAGGGCATGGAAATGACCTTCCCAGTGAATTGATCTTTTAAAAATTATGAAATGGTTTCTGTACCATAGTAATGTCTGTCCTGAAGACCATGTTCTTTCTTAAATATATCCTATTATTTTCTAACCTATCTGTAGGTTTGTGGTTTTCTTTTTTTTCTCTTTTTTCTGATCTCTTATAAATAATGGAGTTGACTCTAAAACAAAGAACCCTAGTCAGGCACTCTCCTTTCCCTGGAGCACGTAGTATATTTATCTACACTGAGCCCTGCATGCCCGGGGTCACTGTGTCCCACCCCTCTCTCCCTTGTCCTGTTTGCTCGCTTTTCTTTCCGTTGTTGCCTGGCTGCTGTGGGATGGATGTGTTTTTTGTTCCATTCCCTCTGCCTGATTTCTGGTAGAAATATTACACTCTGTGTTGTTTTTGTGGTTCCCATAGGAATCATATTTGACTATGAAAATCAATCCTTTTTTCAGTTATTAAATTTCCAGCAACCAGCAAGCAGGGTGCAGAGGGCAGGATTCAGGCAGCACCTGGGGTACATCCCTGCCTAGCAGGCCCTGGACACAGCCTGGAAAAGTGCTGAGCCCTGGGGGTGCAGCTCAGGGGGTCCCCTGGTCACCCTCAGGTCAAGAATCCTGAGGGTGCTAGAAGTCAGTTCTGGGTACTGGTAACAGAGTTCTCGGGCGTGGGTCCTGAGTGTGGGCTGTGTTGAGGGACCCAGGTTGGTGGTTGTGGGTTGGACTCCTGGGTGACCCGCTGTCCCCTTTGTGAAAATGCATTTGCTGTCCCTGGTGCGGATGAGCTGCCTGGTCCTTAGCTACATGGTGCTCACCCCTGACCATCCTTCTCCCTGTGGTCGTGAGTCTTGCACAGCAGGCCGTCTCCATGTCCTGTCCCCAAGCTGAAGTCCCTCTTGGCTTTGTGCTGGTCCTGCAGGGTCCAGTCCATCTCCTGGTGGTGTCATAGCCTTTGTCACATCTCTGCTCTTTGGGGTCTGTGTGCTGGCCCCCCTCAGTGCATCAGGCTCCCAGGACCTTTCGTTAGTTCAGCCCTAACTGTTAAGGGCCTTGATTCTGTCTTCAGAATCCAGTCATGTTTGCACAGGATGTAGGCAGTTGGGGGTGACGGCCATCACCCTGGGTGCCCTGGGTTCTTTAGAGCAGGTTGCAGGCTTCCACGGGGCTGGCCAGTGGGTCACCCCCTGTGTGTCCCCCCACCCCTCCTGCCTGGCCCCTGCTGACCATGCCATGCCACTGACCCTCTGTGACCGACCAGCTGTGTCCTCAGCTGTCACTGAGCAGCTTGGCTCAGCGGTACAGACTTGGTCAGCAGTCTCTTGTAGCGAAATGCTGAGGCTGAAAGAGATGTCTTGCTGCCCAGTCTGAAGGCTGCCAGCCCTCGGGCAGCCTGGGTGGGCCCTTTGGCATCACGGCGAGAGCATGTGCAGCAGGGAGAGCACTTCGCGAACAGAAGCCAAGTGACTCGGGGTCAGACTTGGGCCCTTATAACAAGTGGCTGTGGTGGAGCCAGCACTCCTGAGAACCGCATCCGCCGTGCAAGGAGCGGCCCACGGCTGGCGCCCCTCAGTCCACCTGTTGCCATCCCGACATTGCCGCACCTGCGCTGGGACAAACTCATCCACATGTGGCCATGGCCGCCTCTCCTGACCCTGCTCTGGACAGCTCCGTGCTCCCTGCCATCAGCTGCCAGCCACCTTGTCCCCAAGCAGCTGAGCCAGGGCCGAAGAGTGGCCACAGGGTTCCCACACCTTCTGACCAGGCGGCTGCGCTGCCTGCTTACCCATCCCGCGCTCCCGCCTGCCCTTGGTGTCCTTGGCCCTCCAGAACATGAGGGGGGACGGTGAGCTCCGCAGAGAAGAAAGCTGCACAGGACGTCCCTCAGGCCTGGCGCCCGACCAGGCTCCCACACAGCTGCATCTCCTCTCACCTCCTGTGTCCAGCACCCAGAGCAGGGGCCACTCCCCACGGCTCCTAGCTGTGTGTGTAAGTGTGCAACTGAGTGTGTGAGCATGAATGTGTGGCTCTGCACCAGGCCTCACAATGAAGTGGACACAGAGCAATGATGTCCCCAGGTGGGCTGTGGGTGAGCCGTGCCACACACGTGAATATGCACATGCATGTCCATGCTCACCCATGCACACATGTATGCACGTGTGCACACACATGCACAAGCACACCCCTGCTCCGGCTCCAGTGGCCTCAATGCCCTTCTCTGTGCTGGACACACTGTCCTCACTGGATGACCCTCGTAATCGCATAGAGGATGTCACTGCCTTATTCTTTGGTGCTGAGGCCCTCTGCCCTTTTAGGAGAAGAAGATCTTCGCCATCTGCGGACACTACCCAGTGATCCGGGCCACTCTTCGGAGGAAGGGCTGGGTGGAGAAGAAGTCCCACTTCCTTTCCAAGGTCCCAGGTCTCGAGGATGCAGACGTGGGGATCACTGGTAGAGTATCAGGGACACGGGTCCTCCCGCATAGGGTGTCCTGTGTGTGAGGACGCCCAGGCCTGCCGGGGTCTGACCCATCGCTCTCCCAGCCCCGGGTGTCGTATCAGTACTGGTCGCTTCCTCAGGTCCACACCTGTCCCTGGCCGTGCCTCTTACAGCCCCAGCTCCCTGCAGGCCTCTCCCAGGCTCCCACAGTGCTGCTGGTCATCCCCAGACCTCTGCCCAGCGGGTCTGCCCTGGACAGGCCCCACAGTCACAGAGACGCAGGTCAAACGTCCCCTCCCACCCGCACCTTTCATCCCGAGAGTCTGCTGCACTCACCCTGAGGATGTCTGGGCCTCCAGGCTTCCAGACGCAGCCGGGCGGGGTGGGAGCAGGGGGCCCACAAGGAGCCGGACGCCTGGGGTGGCCATGCTGCCGTCTGTCAGCTGTGGGGACCGTGTGTGGCCGGGCTCTACAGGGCGGCACTAGCGTCTCTCATGTATCATCTGCAGACAATAAACATGTCGAGGTCCAAGAAGATCAGGAAGTGGCTCCAGGGAAAGCAGAGGACATTCACGATGTGATGGTAGGTCCCCGCACAGTGTGTGAGCGGCCTCTGCCCTCACACCACCTGGTGGGGCCTGTGTCGCAGGGGAGGACAGCAAACAGGAGTCACCGGAGCCTCTGCACAGGCAGCCAGCGCCGGCGGGCCCAGGGGCGAGGGCGGCTGGCTGAGCTGGAGGGGTCCCTGGAGGAGCTGGCTTCCTCTGTGCCCCATAAAGGGCCACAGCTGCACCTGTCAGTTCTCTGTGAAGGTGTGCCAAGGGGTGCTCTGAGGCCAGGGCCGGGGAGACAGTCAGGTCTGTGGGAGCTGGTGGCACGTAGCAGTTGCCCCCGCCTTGCCACCACACCCAACCTGGCGCCTCTGGGGCTCAATGCACCACAGTCCTCCGTGAAGAGGACACAGAGACTAATCCCAGGCCAGGCATGGTGCTGCACATCTGTGACCCCAGCACTCTGGGAGGCTGAGGCAGGGGAATTCCAAGTTCAAGTCCAGCATGGACAACTTAGCAACTTAGTGAAAATTGTCTCAAAATTAAAAAATGGAGATGTAGCTCAGTGCAAAGGCCGTGGGTTCAATCCCCAGTACCAGAAAAGAAAAGAAAACAAAAGAAAAGAAAAAGTTAACCACAAAGTAGGAGAAGATTATTTGTAATACACACAATTTAAAGGCCAGGATACATATAAGAACATGAGTAGAAACTGGAACGTGGCTTGAAAAACAGGCAAGGCCACACACCGCCCAGCGGCAGTGAGCACAGTGCTACATGCGTGGCATTCGCTGCACTTCTTTTTTTTTGTTTTTGTTTTTTCTTCCGATACCAGGAGTCGAACTCACAACCTTGCGCTTGCCAGGTAGGTGCTTTGCCGCTAAGCTAAATCCCCAGCCCGTTGCTGCACTTCTGCACGTATCAGTGCGCCCTCTTCCTAGTCCGCTTGGTGCTGTGTAAAGGAACGCCAGGACGGTGTGACTCACCTGGAGGCCGGAGGCCTGTCTGGGCGCCCTGCTGAGCGAGGGTCTTCCTGCCGTGCCCCCCATGGCAGAAAGGCCGAGTGCAGGAGACAGGCCTCCGCCTGTGCCTTCTCTGTGCGCCTGCTCTTTTCAGGGTTTACCGCCACCACCCAAAGCTGGGGATTCCAGCACACACTGCTGGGGATGCATCCAGACCACAGCCACGGCTCTGGGAACCCCCACGTGCAGCCCAGAAGGGAAGCAGGGTCTCAGCCCAGCCTGTGTGACCAGGGTGGGGCACCGGCAGCTTCTCAGCTTCTCAGGACAGACACACACTTCCGTGCACAGCCTGGGGCTAACGCTGGCCTGCGCCCGCCTGGCCCAGATGGCTGAGTCCTCACCCTGTACACAGGGCCCAGATCCCATTCCCAGAGCCCCGCCCTTCAGCCTCCATCACCTCCCAGAGGCCATCTCTGGAGGAAAGGACCTCAATCTGTGGATGAGTGGGGAGACACAGGCAGCAGTGGGCTGGTAGGGGTGAAGGGTGGGGACCCCACTCTGCCACTGATGCATAACCTAGGCCTGCGACCACTGCAGCCCTCTGTGCTTTACACGCCTGTGTCACATGCTCAAACATGAGGTTTCCACCCGAAGTGGCGGTGAAATCCGTCGACACTGCTCTGGGGCAGGCACAGGCGGTCAGATCAAGAGAAAGAGCACTGTGCATGGTGTCCAGGCAGGCCTGGGCTTTGCAGACAGGGGCAGCTGTGCAGAGCAGCATAGGAAGAGGCCCCGGGCTGGGCGCCACCAGGGCCCAGAGCAGACAGATCCACATTGTGGGACCTCGAACTTGGGCCATGGATGCACACGTGCTCCTGTCCACACACGCCTGCCTGCCGGAGCTGACCCAAGAGAGGGGTCAGGGGTTACCTAGGACTTTGGAGAGCACTTTGTCATGGTTAGAAGTTTGGTGCAAACACACGCTGCTGCTGGTGGACAGAAGGTCACCAATAGTCAGGACACCAGCCACAGGTGTCCGCTACACCCCAGATCCCTCCGCCCTGCTCTGTGCACTGGGGGTCCCACTTTGGGGGAGGGAGGCGACACACAGGAGCTTTCTTCCTGTGGGCTCTATCCTGGGTCACAGAGCATACTGGTCACCCCAGGACGGCAGGTGGCACACCCCCGAGCCTCATGGGTCACCCGGGGAGGGCAGCTCAGACCGCACTCTGGGCCCAGGCAGGGACACAGCTGGCTTCTGGGGAGAGGAATTCTGTGTGCTCACAGTTGCTCCCACCCAGCATGGGTGGGCCATCAGGAGCGTGTGGCCCACAGTCAAGACGGCAGAATTGGTTAGAATGTCACCGGCCACCGCCACTCAGATTGAGCCCAGGACCTTCACGCTTAGCTGCAGCCCCAGCCTCTGTCGCTTTCTTTTTATTTGGAGATAGGGTTTCACCAAGTTGCCCAGGCTGGGATCAAACTTGTAGTCCTCCTGCCTCAGCCTCCAGGGTACTAGGATTACAGGCGTGTGCCACCACGCCTGGCTTTCAGCTTTGTCCAACCTGTCCCAAGGAAAGGAACTGTAAACGTGGGGTGCTGATAGAGGGTTCTCCTTGCCAGTCTAGGTTGGTAAAGAACGAGACACCGTACCTCCTCTGGACTGTCAAAAGGGACATGGTCGACTATCACAACCTGAGCTCTGACCAGATGCTGAACCACTATGGGAAGACATCGTCCTTCACCACCAAAGTGGGTGGAGAGTGTGGCGCTAGGCTTGGGGTGACTGCTCTGTGCTGCAGGGGGCCTGGGGCTGCTGGGCTCGGGCTTTTCAATGGCAGTCGGGGTACTGGCCTCCCCACCCCCACCCTGGGGCACCCTGCTCTGCCCTGCTGTGCACTGCCCCGTGTCCGGGTGGTCCTGGGGCCTCGGGAACCCTCCCCAAGCTGCACAGACCAAGCCCAAACGGGTGCTCAGTTGGGGAGGCGCTGGCTGCCCCATGGGCCCTGACTCTTCTGTCCCTGGAGATCGGGCTGTGCGTCAACATGAGGAGCCTGCCATGGTTCGTCCAGGCGAACCCCGATGCCTTCTTCCCGCGGTGCTACAGCCTCTGTGCGGAGAGTGAGAAGCAGGAGTTTGTGGGTGAGTGAGGGCCACCAGGGACCTTTGCCCTCTGGGCTGGGCTGCGGTGGGGGTAAAGGGGAGACACCTGGAGGCCCCAGCTCAGGCTCTGTGCCGGGCTGCAGAGGGGCTCGAGACCTGGCTCCGGGGAGGGACCTCAGAGGCCCGGGGTGGGGCCTGAGGGGAGGACCAGGGAGAGGACAGGCAGGGAGGGGCTAAACGGCAAGAGCGAGCCTCAGCGTCTTCCAGATGATTTCCGGCGCACCATGGCCTCCAGCATCCTCAAGTGGGTCGTCAGCCACCACAGCTGCCCCAAAAGCAAGACCAGGAGCCACAAGGAGGAGGCCAGGCCTGGTGAAGAGGGCGGCAAGACAGGTGCGGGGAACGGGGCGTGGGACCATCAGGGCAGGGTCCGGCATGGTGGCACTGGGCGTCTGAAGGACCCCGGGCCCCAGGCAAGGTCACCTCCGATTCACCTCCGATTCACGCTGTGCCTCACCATTTGTGGATCGGTGATGTCATGGCCATCCTGCTGCAGGGCACTGCAGCACCCTTGTCCTGCGTCACGCAGACTCCCTGGACCCAGCACCACCCCTGGTCTCTGCAGAGAGGCCTGAGTGCTGTAGTGACAGGCAGGTCCACATGCTTTTAAGAGTTTACTTTAATAAAACATACTTTTAAGAGTACTTTAGGTTCACAGCAAAATCGAGCAGAAGCTCAGAGGCTTCCTCTTTGCCGGGCCCCAGGCCCAGCCAGCCCCACTCTGGTCCCCACCTGAGCAGTGCACTGTGTCATGAGACAAATGGTGCATCTGTTTGTTGCTGTTCTGTGGTACCTGAGACTGAACCAGGGAGCACTGAGCAGCATCCCAGCTTTCTTTGTTTTGAGACAGGGTCTTCCTGCCTCTGCCTCTCAAGTAACTGAGATTACAGACAAGTGCTGTCTTGTGCATTACAGTGCTACAGAAGTGCAGAAGTGCATTACAGTGTTGATGAGGGTGTCTGAGCACAGTGATTGTGAATCAGGCAACCCCAGGCCACAGCAGGTGAGGAAGGGGAAGACTTGTGGATTGGATGTAGACACAGCAAATGGTAAAGTAGTGTTGTTTGGACTATCTTGGTGTGAAGAGCAAGGCCTGTAACTGACACCACTTACCCCCTGCGACCTGCTGAGTTTACTCCGGGAAACTGCTGGTCCTTCTCCGTCCCTGGTTTGGTTTTCCCAGAATGTCATACAGTTGGAATCACGCAGGCTGTAGCCTTTTCTGACTGGCCCTGTTGACTTACCAGCAAGCACTCAAGGTTCTTCATGGCTTTTCCTGGCTCAATAGCTCGTTTGCTTTCAGTGCGGTCTGGCTGGGCCGCGGTCTGTGCCCCCAGCCCCTGAGGGACGTCCAGACGCTTCCAGGCTACGGCAGTCAGGTGAAGCTGCTGCAGACTTCTGTGCACAAGCTTCTGTGTGACTGTTTTCACTCATTTAACTAAATGCTAAGGAGTGTGGTTGTCGGATGATGTGGCAAGAATGTGATTAGTGTTTTAAGAAACTACTGGCTATTTTGCAGTCCCCGCCAGCCAGAAGTGCACAAAGCCCTGCTGCTTCACCTGCTCATCTGCCGTGTTCTGGACTTCCACCCTTCCACTGGGTCTGTCACGGACCACGTCGTCGTGCTCACGTGCAGTTCTGCTGTGCACCTTTTTGTGTGTCCTTTGCTCTCCGTCCCTCTCCGTTGGTGATGGGTCTTCTCCTCTGTTCGTTTTTAAACTGGGCTGTTCATTTTCTTACTGTTGAGTTTCCTTTTTTTTTTCTGGTACCGGGAATCGAACTCACGACCTTGCACTTACCAGGCAGGCACTGTGCCACTGAACTAAATCCCCAGCCCCCTTACTGTTGAGTTTCAAAGGCTCTTTGTCTGCACTGGACACTGTCTGTGTGACCTGTGTACAAATACGTTCTCCCAGTTTCCACAGTCCTCCCCGTTCCCACTCTCCCAAAGGCCTATGATGCCCTGGGAGTAGCCTTCCCAACAGGGGTGACCTTCGTTTTGTTGTGCCTGAGCGTCCAGCTATCCCAGTACCCCTGGCTGAAAAGCCTGTCTTTGCTCCATTGTTGCTTCTGTCCCCATGTCAAAGATCAGTTGACCAGTTTGTGTGGGTCTTTTTTGGATTCTGCTCTGCTCCAGGAATCTGTGTATTTTTTCAGCAGTAGCTCAACATCTCAGTTACGACAGAGGTACAGCTCTTGAGAGCAGGCAAGACGGGTCCTCTGGCTTTGCCCTTCTTTAATGCTGAGTTGGCTGTCACTGGCCTCTCTACATAACTTCAGAACCATTTTGTCCAGGTTTGTGAAATAAGTTGCTGTGATTTTGATTGGGACTGTGCGTAGGCCAAGATGGGAAGATCTGGTGGAGGTCTTAATAAAAGTGAGTGTTCCCTACGGTGTACATGAAATATCTCTCCACTTATTTAGTTCTTTGACAGCATTCTTCAGAGTTCTGTAGTTTTCTGCATATAGATCTTATACATATTTTGTTAGATTTGTTTATACCTAAATATTTCATTCTGGGGCTACTCATGTAAATGGCATTTTGTTTTAATTTCAAATTTCAGCCGTTCATTGTTGCTGTATAGAAAAGTGATTGGTCATAATCACTTATTACCTCTAGGTGTTTTTGTTTTATTTTTCTTTTATTCTTTTAGATTTTCTACACAATTATGTCATCTGTGAATAGACAGTTGTATTTCTTCCTTCTGTATACTTTTCTGTTCTTGTCTTACAGCTTTGGCTAGGGTTTCCAATACAGTGTTGAAAAGGAATAGCCTTGTCTTTTTCTTTACCCTAGCAAGAAGCCCGCTAATTTCTCACCTTTAAGTATGCTGCTTGGGCCGGCGGTATGGCTCAGTGGCATACGCGCCTGCCCGGCAAGCACAAGGTCCTGAGTTCGATTCCCAGTACAAAAAAAAAAGTATGATGCTAGCTCTACATATTTGTAGTTATTCTTTATTAAGTGGAAGAAGTTTTCCTTTATTCCTAGTGTGCTAAGAGTTTTAAACACTAATAGGTGTTGGATTTTTGTCTTTTTTTTTTTTACCATCTGATAGTGTAACTTTTTATTTGGCCTGTTGATGTGATTCATTAAGTGTTTGAGCTAAGCTTGGTGTCAGCAGATGTGGGACAATGACAGATACTAAGACTAGAAAGGTGAAACATTAAGTTTATTGCCCTACGTGTCCAGATCCAGGTGACAGCCAGGGACAGGACATCAGGATGGATACTGAGGCAGTGTTAGGTGCATTTCAAATGTCAGCCCAGCCTTTTATAACCCAAACAAATCCTGGCCCGTTGTGTATAGTTATTTTTTGACTGTGGGATTAAATTTGCTAATATTTTATTGAGATGTTTGCCTCTATGTTCATGAAGATACAGATCTGTAGTTTCTTTTCCTTGTAATGGTTTTAGCATCAAGGTAATGTGACCTCGTAGTATGAGTTCAGAAATGTTCCTTCTGCTTCTGCCTTCCAGAAGAGATTGTAGAGAATTGATATAATTTCTTCCTTACATATGAATTTTCTGCACTAGTCAGCCTTCCATTACTGTGACAAAATACCTGAAAAACAACTTAAAGGAAGAAAAGGTTTGTTCATGGTTTCAGAAGTTCCAGTCCTATGGGGGTTGGGGGCTGGGGATTTAGCTCAGCGGTATAGCGCCTGCCTGGCAAGTGCAAGGTGGTGAGTTTGATTCCCAGTACCGGAAAAAAAAAAAACCCCACACAAACAGAAGTTCCAGTCCGAGGTCAGCCGGTTCTGCAGGTTTCAGACCTGTGGTGAGCCAGAAGCATCACAGCAGCAGGGTATGGCGAAGAGGCCAGGAGGCAGAGAGGAAAGCAACTAGCTAGAGCCCCAGAGGAAGGAGTCAGGGGTAAGACAAGTCCCCAGAGTGACTCCCCAGTGACCCACTCCCTTCAGCAAGGCCTCACTCTTGTTTCCATCTCTTCCCAATAATGCCACAAAATTATTACCTCAGCAATGGGTTAGTGCACCAAGGCATCTGGAGCCCTTCGGATCCCACCACCTTCCAGAAGCCCCACCTCTGACCACGTGAGCCTTTGGGGGGACATTTTAAGTCCAAACCACTGCGTATATGCTGGGATTTACCAGGGAGCCTGCCTGTGACTGGTTATGTCTGTCTGGTAAGGTTTTAAACTTTAGACGAAAAGTTCTTTGCACATACGGCATAATACGGTTCATGTCTAGATGTCCCCCAAAAGCCTCAAGCACTCATGGGCGGGTACTTGGGCAGGTGATTGGATTGTGAGGGTGTGGTGCTCATCAGTGGGTTTGTAGCGAAGTGTGATTTGGGAGGTGAAGCCTGATTGGAGGAGGTGGGTTGCCGGGGGCATGGCCTGGGAGGATCGATCTCCCTTCTCCTTCCTTGATCACTCTTTGCTTCCTGTCTGCCCTGCCCTGGGCTGTTTCTCTCTGCCATCCTCTCTGCTCCCTGCCTTGGAGCCAGCTAACTATGGACTGAAACTGCAAGGCACAGAAAACCTCTTCTTTCATATGTGGTGTCGGTTATTTTGTCCCAGCAATGAGAACGTAGCTAAGACAAGTCCTGTTCGGATTGTCTGTTCCGTGTGAGTTTGGCAGAGTGGTGGGCCTTTCGAGGCACTGGCCCGTTTCCCCCAGGTTATTATCCTTTTCATGTCTATGGGTCTCTAGTGCTGCTCCCTCTTTCTTTCTTTCTTTCTTTCTTTCTTTCTTTCTTTCTTTCTTTCTTTCTTTTCTGTCTTTTTGAGAGAGGGTCTCGCTATGCAGTTCAGGCTGGCCTTGAGCTCACTTTGTAGCCCAGGCTGGCCTTGAACTCGCAATGATCCTCCTGCCTCAGCCTCCCAAGTGCTGGGATTACGGGCGTGTGCCACCACGCCCGGCTTCCCTCTTTCTTTCTGATGATAATAATTTGTGTTTTTTCCGTCTTTACTTAGCCTGGCTAAAAACTTACTAATTCTACTGCTCTTTTCAAAGAACTAGCTTTTGGTTTCATTGATTTTTTTTTCCCCTATTGATTTTTTTTTCCCCTATTGATTTCTGGCTTTGAATTTTATTAACTTCCACCCTAATTTTTCTTACTTCTTTTCTTCTGCTTTCTGTGGATTTAATTTGTTCACTTTCTGATTTTCTGAGGTGAAGTGGAAGCTTAAATCATTAATTTTTTCCCTTTTTCTTTTCTTTTTTTTTGGTTTTTCTCTGGTACTGGGAATTGAACTCATGACCTTGCACTTGCCAGGCAGGCGCAGTGCCGCTGAGCTAAATCCCCAGCCCCTCCCTTTTTATTTTCTATTAATAAAGCATTAGATAGTTTACATTTCCTTCTAAGTACTGCTTTTGCATCCTGCAAATTTTAGTTAAGTATGATAAGTTGTGTTTTCATTGTCATTTAGTTCAATAAGTCTGTCTTTCTGTCTGTCTTTCTACTTTTTTTGTACTGGGGATTGAACCCAGGGCTTTCACACTGAGCTATATCTCCAACCCTTTTTATTTTTTATTTTGGGACAAGGTCTTGCTAAATCACCAAGTTTCCAAGGCTGGGCTTGAACTTGTGCTCCTCTCGCCTTGGCCTCCCAGAGTGCTGGGATTACAGGCATGCACCACCATGCCTGGCTTTAAATTTCTCTTATTTAGAATTGTATTCTTGCCGGGGATGTAGCTTAGCGGCACAGCGCCTGCCCGGCAAGCGCGAGTTCGTGAGTTTGATTCTGGTACCAAAAAAAATTGTATTCTTTAATCTCCAAGTACTTCAGGATTCCCCAACTATCCTTCCTGTTATTGATTTCTAGTTTAATCCCATTGTGGCCTGAAAGCAGGCACTGGTTTCTGCTTTTTAAAATTGGTTAATGTCCATTCTGTGGCCAGACTGTGGTCTGTGTTGGCGAATGTTCTATGTGAACTGAAGATGCATGTGCGCTGCTACGGTTGGAGTGTTGTGCAAGCGTCAGTTGTGTCCCATTGACAGACGGTGTGTGTACTGTGTCCTCACTGACAGGCCGCTGGACTTGTCCACTTCCCATTCAAGGATGTGGAAGTTTCCAGCTATCGTAACAGTGTGTATTGCCTTGTCCTAGAAGTTCTATCAGCTTTTCCCTTGTGCATTTTGAAGCTCTATCATTAGGACATACACCTTAAGCACTGTTATATCTTCCTGGGGAAATGACTCTTTTTTCTTTACATAATGCTTTTTTTTACCCCTGATAGTTTTCCTTGCCTTGAGGTCTGTTCTTTGGGAAATTAACATAGCAACTTTTGATTCATGTTAGCATAATGTGTCTTTAAATCTAATATAGCTTTCTATTGAGAGAGGGTTTCTTAGAGAAATACATGAGGTTCGGTCTTGCTTAATGGACTCCGGCAACCTCTGTCTTTTAATTTGTGTGTTTAGGCCACTAACATTTCTTGGCCTCTGCCATATTTGCTCCCGTTTCCTGTCTGTCGCCCTAGTCCTTTGTTCCTGTTCTTCCACCCTCTCTCCTTACCCTTCGGGGATGTCGGCTCCAGCAGCTCGGTGTACGGCGCGGCTCTCCTGCCCTAACCGGCTGTGGAGCCCTCTGCCCTGCTCGCCTGTGCTTCTCTGGGTCAGCTCGGCTGTGAGGATGCTGGTTTTGCCTCTGACCTCTCTTCTCCAGAGAGAGTGGCTGATTTTTCCAGTTATTCAGCTTTTCCTGTTAGGAGGGAGTGGTAGGGCCGGGGATATAGCTCAGCAGCACAGTGCCTGCCTGGCAAGCGTGAGGTTGTGAGTTCGATTCCTGGTACCAAAAAAAAAAGCCAACTCCTGTTAGGAGGGAGTGGTGACCCCGCTCCTCCATCTTTGAAACTAGTGGTGCTGTCATTCACTGTGAGCTGGTTCACTGTACGTTCCAGGAATTTCACCCCAACAGACTCATGCGTGCCCATGGTAACCTCTGCAGCTGTCACATGGACTCTGAGCTTGAGCCCCCACCTACACAGCGGGGACCCCTGTGCTCCCCACAGCTGGGCGGGCAGGGGGTTCTTCTCAGCCTGGAGCTTGCGTTCCTGGGGTGTTTGAGACCCACCTTCTCACACCCGTCCTGAGACCCAGCGGTGCTCCCGAGTCCTGGGGCCTTGCAGCACAGGAGGGTCAGGAGTGTGTGCCCTGCGAAGTGCTGTAGTCCCGGGAGTGACACCTGCAGCAAGCTGCGGTCACTTCCCAGCAGGAGGTGTCATCCTGGGTGCCCTGCAGCTCGGGGTAGGTGGCCGTGTCCCTGCGGCAGACCCTGTCCTGCACCTGTGCTTGGATTCTAGATCCTGAGGGTGCTGGAGAGAAGCGCAAGGGTCTCTCGGGACAGCTGGTGGACGTGGCCTGCCGTGTGTGTCAGGCCTACCTGGGGCAGCGGGAGCACGAGGACATCGATGGGCTGGTGAGCAGCGCGGAGGGCCTGTCCGAGGCCGAGTGGAGCATCCTGACCCAGCAGTACTACGCCCTGGTCCGGTGAGACGCGCAGGTGGGGATTCGGGCGTCCATCTGGGTGTCGGGGTGCCCAGAGCCCTGCAGCCTGTCCCCCCGGCCCTGCTGGCTGTTGAGAGGACAGCCTCCTCAGGTTCCTCTGGAGTGACATCACTCCTGCCCCCTGGAGCCTTTCCTTTTTGGCCTCATTTGAACCCACAGCAGCCCTGGAAATTCTGTGCCATTTTGTGGCCAGTCTACCTGGCTTGCTCTGGGTGGTGGCCGAAGCCCCCCTGTTGACCCTCCCTGCTCCAGGCCATGTCCTCCGGCCAGGTCCAGCACCATGCACCCGTAACGGGGACAATCGCCAGGGGAACGAGAGCCCTTGTTTTGGAGGGTCTATGACAGCCCCTACTTCTGACTTTGACCCTTCCCTGGATGACTCAAGCGTCTCCCGTCCTGCCTTCCCAGTGAGGTACAGCGTAAGTGCAGTCGGGGTGCGTGGTGCAGGATCCCACTGTGCATGCGGATGAGATCCTGCTGTTGTTCATCTGTGTAGCTGCATAGTGCACCCCGTCAAGGTCATCTCCAGCCCCTTGAGGCCCACTCAGCCTTCCCAGACAGAGCCTCCCGAGTCCCCCATCAGCTTGCTCCTGTGAGCAGAGCACGCACGCTGGGTTCGCTAGGGGCTGTGCTTCAAAACGCCATTTGGTGCCCCCTGGTTGTTGCCTGCGTGTTCTCCAGAGTTCCACAGGGGTGACTTAAAACCTCGGCCATTGGAGTCCTTGCACTTCTCCCTGGACACCCGTGGCTACTGTCTCTATTTTGATGCGGTGAGAGCCAGTGCATCAGAATGCTTTCTCGGCCATGTGTCAGACCCACCTGTCCTTAGGAAGGTCCTCTCTGCCTCCGTAGTGATTCTTCCTTTGAGTCCTACTCCCTCCCCAGGTGGTACAGCCACATCGGCTTCTTCAGATCGGGGTTTGCAAGGTATATGTCTTCTACTAACCTTTTCAATCTGTTGGTGCCTTTATAATTAAAGTGTATCTTCTATAAAGAGCATTCATTAATGGCTGGGTCTTGCTTTTTGCCCAACTGACAATATTTTTCTATGAATCCAAATGTTTGTTCTATTTGCACTGAATTTTTTTTTTTGTTTGTTTGTTTGTTTGTCTTTTTGAGGCAGGGTCTCACTGTGCAGTTCAGGCTGGCCTTGAGCTCACTTTGTAGTCCAGCCTGGTCTCGAACTAGCAGCCATCCTCCTGCCTCAGCCTCCTGAGTGCAGGGCCTGCATCAGCTCCACAGCCGCAGGACTGCCAGTGTCACCGTCTTCCCACCAGAGCCACTGTAGGGTTTAGTCTAGGGTGCTCTGCTAGGTAATGTCTCTGGGTTTGTTTGGTTTTGTTTTTGGGGCATGGGAGGTTGGGGGTTGGTCTCAAAAAGCCTACTTTCCCCTTCATTCTCTGAAGACATTTTCTGTGGAATAAGAGTTTCCATTGCAAAGATTGGGTTGGTGTGCTGCCAGACACCATGCTGTCATTGGGCCACCGTCGCATTTTTTGTTTTGTTTTGTCTTTTTGAGACAGGGTTTCACTATGCAGTTTAGACTGCCATTGAACTCACCCAAACTGGCCTTGAATTCACAGTGATCCTCCTGCCTCAGCCTCCTGAGTACTGGGATTACAGGCGTGCACCACCACGCCCAGCTTGTTTTCTTTGTTTGCACTTTCCATAGGTGTCATTTTCATTCCCGGGGAGGCATGACTATTTGTCTGGATGCTGTAAGATTTTGTCTTTGGTTTTGCGCAGTCATAATTCTTGGTGTCTGAGGGCACCTTGGGTCTCTGAGGGCACCTGGTCCATCACTTCTGCTCACTCTTTTTGCCCCTCCAGGAGGCTTTCTGCTCGCACGTCACACCGAGACCCACTTCCTTCTCCTCCTGCAGCTCTACACACAGAGACATCACTGTCCCTGGTGTCTCCCACCCCAGATTCCTCTGCACGGCCTCCGTGAGCCCTTCTAACGTCTGTGTCTGACTCCAGCCTGTGTGCTGCCCCTGCTGGCCTGCCGTCTACCCCAACGCTCTGACCAAGTTTCAGTGACTGTGTTTGTGACCCAGTTCCTCACAGGAGGAGCCCCTCCTACTGACTCATCTTTCTCACCCACGGTCCGGTCTGTCTTCCTGTGAGTCACTCTAGATCCCTTTCCCTGGGCTCAGGAAGGTGGTCACCTTCCTGGCGTACTAACATCAGATGCATACGCGGAGCAGCTGCCTTCAAGTCTCCTGCCTGTTCTTCTGCTGTCTGGTTTGTCTCCCTGTGTCCATCTGCAGGGTTCTCTGTGTAATCTGCACGAGAGTCCATGTCTGACAGAAGTGTCATGAACAGCTGTGCCCGTTCTGTGGGCCCAGCTTACCTGCACCTCCTTGTGACTGGCGCTTGGACCACTGTCCAGGCTGTCTGGGCGGAAGGTGTGAGCATCCTTTCGAATGGAAAACAATGCCTACTAGGGCTGGCATCGCCAGCAAGGGCCATGGTCATCAGGTCGGAGGAACCTGATTTTTTCTCATCTACCATTTCCCCTTCAGTTTAAAAAATACATCTTTATTGTTTGAATGTTACAGAAATTCACTTATTGTAAATGTACAAGTCAGTGAATTGCAGTAAATTCAGAGTGGTCCAGCCACTACCGCGGTTGGCTTGGGAACACTGGCTCCCTGTGACCCAGGAAATCTGTTTCCCTTGTCTCTCGCTCACACGCAGCCCTGCCCCACACTGGTCCCTGTCTCTCTAGTTTGCACTGTTTTTTAAAGCCAGGAATTAAAAAAAAATATTTAGATATTTTAAAATTCATGTCAGCGCGTTGCTCATTTCCAGGGCCAGGCTCTTGTCCCTAGAAAAGATGGGACAACCAGGAACAGCTGGTGAGAGAGTAGGTTTTAAACCCAACTACGTCAATGATTTCATTAATTAAGGGCAGTAAACAAGACACAAATTTTCAGAATCATTTTTTAAAAGACTATGTTTACAAGAGACATCTTTATATATTATTACACAGAGACATTGAAAGAGAATAAATAGAAGGTAAATCATGAAACATTAAAAAAAAGAAAGCTGGTGTGGCTGTATTAATATCATACAGACGAGGCTTTAAAGCAGAAAGTTACTAGACAGAAAGACAGACAGTGTTTCATAATTATAAAAAATGTATGTTCAAGAAAAAGAAAAAAAGGAAAAAAGAAGAAAAAAAAATGTACATTCAAGCTGGGCATGGTGGCACACACCTGTAATCCCAGCACTTGGGAGGCTGAGGCAGGAGGATCGTTGTGAGTTCAAGACCAGCATGGGCTACAAAGTGAGTTCAAGGTCAGCCTGAACTGCACGGCGAAACACTGTCTGGAAAAGACAAAAAAAAAAGTATACGTTCAACAGAAGGGCACAATTCTGAATTCATATGTGATTAGTACAATAGTCTCAATAGATGTGGAGGAAATACTGACAGAAGTAAAATAAATAGACAAATTCACACTCCTAATTTGAGGGCTGGGGATATAGCTCAGTGGTCCAAGCGCCTATCTGGGAAAGTATAAGGTCCTGAGTTCGATTCCCAGCATCCACTTTAAAAAAAAAAGAGGCCCAAACACACTCATAGTTTGGAGACGTTAACACACTTTTCTCAGCTCCTGAAGAAGTTGATAAACATCAGTAAAGATACAGGCTTTGAACAGCACTAACTGCCCTGCTGACTTGTTTAGAACACTGTATGCAGTAACTAAGAGATCCACATCTTTTTTTTTTTTTTTTTTTTGGTGGTGGTGGGGCAGTACTTGGGATTGAACCCAGGACCTCTGCACTGAACTACATCCCCAGCCCTTTTTACATTTTTATTTTGAGATGGGGTCTTGCTAAGTCACCAAGTTGCCCAGGCTGAACCTACGCTAAGCAGAGTGGGCTTGGGGTAAGAAGATGAACAGAGAAGGTACCAGCACAGCATGGAAGCAGGCCTCACAGGTGTGACCTCTGGGTTTACACTGCATCCTGCCTCACAGGCTCACGAAAGCTAGTTTGGGGCACAGCGAGGGATGGGTGAAAGTTAAAACTCACACTGAAGCACTTCTTCAGGCCCATGAAGGCGATGATGCATGGCACAGTTCACAAACACTGAGAAAATGGGTAGACACATTTTCTTGACATTAAGAACTCTTGTTTCTGAGCCGGGCGTGGTGGTACTTGCCTGTAATCTCAACACTTTGGGAGGCCGAAGCAGAGGGATCACAAATTCAGTAGCAGCCTGGGCAACTTAGTGACTTAGGGAAGCCCCGTTTCAAAATTTAAAGAACACTTGAAAAGAGCTGGAGATACAGGTCAGTGCAAAGACCGTGGGTTCGCTCCTCAGCATCACAAACAGTCTCTTCAAAAGCACTCTGAAGAGCGTGAGAACACAGCTGGGCTGGAGGAGCAGCTCACACTTGGTGTCTGTGGCGGTTTCTGATCCAGGTGCTATGGAGGACACAAGTCAGTAAGAGGAAGTTGCTCACAGGCTGCTGCCCGCTTTTCACAAAGGAAGGAGCCCGGATACCCAGTGAGACACAGACGGGTGCGCAGCGTCTCCGTATCAGGACGGGGCTGTGTGCCCCAGCGCAGCTGAGACGAGTGTCGAACGCTTTCATCCAGAGGCAGGTGCCACGGGCCAGGCCTGCGGGCGGCGCAGCCTCTGGAGAAGCCCCAGGCAGTTCCTAGGCACCTGGGCGTCCATGTCTCCTGTGAGCTGCCTGTCCACTCCTTGGTCTTTATCCGAGAGGCAGGAAAACATCTGTCCTCAGAAGACCTCACCTCATGACCCCAAGCTGAAGACAGCCGTGGTGAGGAAGGCACTGGGGCAGCCCAGCCGTGTGGAAGGGGCGCTTGGCCCTCGGGTCCACCGAACAGAAGCCAGGCTCAGGAAAGGGGTCCCTGCCTGGTGGCAGAGTCAGGGTGATGGCAAGTTGCCACTGCAGGGATGGAACGCTGGAGCACCTTCCGGGAGCCGAAGCCCTCGGACCCGGGTCCGGGTACCGAAGACAGCAGCACACGCATGTGAAGCGCAGACTCCACTCTTTGGAGCTGGCCTTGTGCTCCGGCCATGTTTTCTTTTTCTTTCTTTTTTATGCTTTTCTTAAAAATTAGCGTTTGCTGAGGTGCATAATCATTGCATTGGTTTAGAAAGTTGGTACCTGTGTGCATCACAGCTTGGTCGTTCGCAGTCCTCTAACTCCTAGCTGCAGCCCTCCTCACTCCTGCCCTGGACCCCCATCTCCATCTCCAAATGTCTGTTCCCCATCTCTCCTTTATTTCACTCTTTAACGTACTTATATTTGGGGTTTCTATGTCGGACTTATTTCACCTGCTATTATGGTCTGAGGTTCCATCCATCTTCCTGCAAATTACATGACTTCATTCTTCTTGATGACTGGGTAATGCTCCATAGTGTATACATCCCATATTTTCGTTACCCATTGGTCCGTTGATGGGCATCTAGGCTGTTTCCAGAGGTTGGCTATTCTGAATTGTGGGTATTCACAGATCACCGTAGTGTCATCTTTAATTCTTTTGGAAATATTTCTAGGAAAGGTACAGCTAGGTCAAATGTAATTTCTATTTTTAGTTTTTAAAGGATTCTCCATACTGATTTGCATAGTGGTGATACTGGTTTACAATGTAAGAAGTGCTCCTTTCCCCTCCCACATCCTTACAAACATTTGTGTGTGTGTGTGTGTGTGTGTGTGTGTGTGTGTGTGTGTGTGTGTTCTTGATAATGGCCATTCTGAGTGGAGTATAATGAAAAGTCAGAACTCTAAACAAAGAGTTTGAAGAGTTTGAAGACATCCCCTCTTCCTGGATATGCAGGATACTGTTGAAGTGTTACCAAAATGTTACCAAAATCGTATATGGATTTAAGAAGTCCCTATTAAAATGTCATCAACATTCTTCATAGAACTAGAAAAAAGTCCTAGAATTTATATTCAACCAGAAGAGACCCAGAACAGCCAAAGCAATCCTGAGCAACAAGGGGCAAGTGGACGCCATCACAATCCTGAATTTAAGTTATACTGTGAAGCTATGGTAACAAAATAGCATGGTACTGGATGAAAATGGGCATGTAGACCAATGAACAGGATCAAACAGGAAGCGCAGAAACAAGTCCAGGCACCTCCAGCCCCCTGATTTTTGACAAAAGAGCCAAAAACACACCCTGGAGAGGGACACAGTGTTTTTAAGAAATAGTGCTGGGAAAACTGATTCTGCACATGCAGAAGAGTGAAACGGGACCCCCAGCGCCCTGCCCGACAATCACATCAAAACAGATCAAAGACTCAGACGTGCAAACAGAAAGCCTACGCTCCTGGGTGGGAACATGAGGGAAGCGCTTGAACCCTAGTAGCATGAGAAATAACAGCAAGAATCAACAATTGGAATCATGTCAAGTCAGAAAGCTTCTGCTCAGCAAAGGAAACCACCAGCAGAGTGAAGAGACACCTACAGAAAGGGAAAACTGTGCCAGCTACTCCTCTTTTACAAGATTAACATCTAGAACTCAAAATATTAACCCCTAAAAGCAAGAGACCTAATCGAAAGATACGGACAAATGAACCTAATAGACACTTCTCGAAAGAAGAGGTGCACATGGTTAGTAAGTGCATGAAGAAATGTTCTGCATTTTTAGCTCCTAGGGAAATGGACGTCGAAACAAATACAACCTTGGTTTCGTGGAAGGACGTCCTGGGTGGCACGTGGGGCGGCAGTGTTAGGCCCCAGGACAACGCTTTGCAAATTATGTGCGGAGGGTGGGCAGGTGCGTGGCTTGGAGGTGGTGCCCTGAAGCAGATTGGACATGGTCCCCAAGCCCCCAGGCCCTGCCCAGCCCTCCTCGCTGAGGCTCATAGGAGCCCTGTGTGGACACCGTGCCCTGGGACAGAAGGCACATTTGCATCACGGGTCTGGAGGGGACCCTGTGTGTAGTTTGATGGGAGTGGGATGTTCTGCGAACCTGAGGCTCTGCCAGCCTCCTCTGGCTTTCACACTCGAGTCATCACACTCGGATGCAGAGGCATCACCGAGTCACTACCATGGTGTGAGCCTGGGCCACCTCCCCCCCGGGAGGCCTCCTTCTGGACCTGGGGTTCAGATGTCGGGGAGAGGTGGTGAGGGCTACCTTCCCATTCTAAAGCCATGACAGCTGTGTCACCAGGGGCCTTGCAGGCCGTGTCCTTGCAGGCCAGGCAGAGTGTTCTGGGCACCCTAGAGGCCCTCTGCACCTGTGGGCACCGTGTCCCATCACGGTTGAGCTATCCTACCCCCTGGGATCAGACATTATGTGATACCCACTCCTGAGGAGGGCTCGAAGTCAGTAGACCCATGAGCAGGGCCGCTATCCACCCCATCACCCCGTTCCTGTGCCAGCTGGGTGCCGTCACTCCCAGGGGCTCTGGCATCTTTTCCCCTGGCCACAGCTCCACAGAGGTGAGGGCTTCGCCTAGGTGACCAGGGACGCCGTGCTTCCTTCTCTCCAATTCTGTCCTCTGTTAACCTGCCTGGTGGGTTAACAGACTGCAGACGTCCCTGTCCCCAGCCCATCCCCAGGGGCCTCAGCATGAGTCGTGCCTGGTGGCCTTGGGCCGTGTGCAGGCAGCCTATGTGGACACTTCCTCTGTGGCTCTGGGTCTGCCGTCCATGGAGGGTCCATGTGTCTGGGGCCAGCTTCAGGGCCAGAGCGGTCATTCCTCCTTAAGTGGCAGAGTGACACCTGCAGGCTCCTCCCGCTGCAGGAACGGCTCTGCCGAGGCCCTGCCTTTGTTCCCTGGTGGCTTCCTGACTCACACTTGGAGCTGCCACGACTCTGCAGGCCCCAACACGGTGCCAAGATCAAGTGGACGATCAAGCTTGCTGGGCAGGAAGTCGGGTACCGTAGTGGGGGTCGGTGTGGGCACCACCAGCAGGCAATGCATGCACACAGTGTGCCGGGGGTGCACATCAGTCCAGACCCACAGATTGGGGTCCTCCACAGCCCCGCCCAGGCGCAGTCTCACTGTCCCCCACGGCCTGCCCGGTCCTGCCCCACCGGTCAGCTGCTACCCAGTCCCGGTACCGAGGCGCCCCCTGTCAGTGGGGCTGGCACTGTCTCTCTGAGAGTCTCACACACTTTCTGGATCTTGCTTTTTAGCGGCGATGCTTTCATCTCCAGTTCAAGAAATTACTTTTCGCAGTGCCAGGCTTTGCTGAGTAAAATGAAGTCTGTGAACCCCCAGACGGAGATTGATGGGCTGCGGAACATCTGGATTATAAAGCCTGCGGCCAAGTCCCGGGGCCGAGGTGAGCTCCGGGGGGTGGGTGCACCCCGCGCAGGCCTGCATCACCCTGAGACAGCCTCTGCATGTGCCCAGAGTGAAACTAGTCTCTGCGTGGCTCTGTGGGGCGGGAACGGCCCTGATCCACGGTCAGTGGGGCATGGACTGGTGGGTGCCTGCGCCCCGGGACGGCATCCTCAGGGCTGTGCAGGTTCCCTTACTTTCTCCTCTGCACACGTAGTTCAGCTGCCCGCCTTGCTGCCTTTTCCGTATCACCTGGTGGATCTGAGTGACAGGCTCTTGCTGCCTTGCGAGGAACGGGGGAGCCCCCAGCGCAGCCCCTCCCAGACGCCAGCCCTGGGGGCCTTCACGCACTGGCGGCACAGCTCCTGGCGGCTAGTGTTTCCGTTCCTCTTTCGAGCTGCACTGTGCCCGTGTTCTCTGTTTCCCTGAGGTGCGTGCGCGTGTGCACGCACGTGTGTTTAGATAGGACTTGCCGGTGGCTTTCTAATTTATGTTCCCAAAGAATCGACTTGGGCTGCGTCTCTGGCTCCTCTGTGAGGCCACCTCGCTCCCACCTTGGCGCTGTCTCGTTTACCTCCGGTCCCCTTTGCGTCACACGGTGCCTCCTTCCTCGCCATCTGTGGAGACCTCACTTTCAGTTTGGACCCTCGATCTGCCCCTCGCGCTATTTTGAAGTCCTATCTAATGAACCTAATAGACTTCAAGTCCTATCTAAAGACACGTGCGTGCACACGCGCATGCACCTCAGGGAAACAGAACACGGGCACAGTGCAGCTCGAAAGAGGAACGGAAACCCTAGCCGCCAGGAGCTGTGCCGCGAGTGCGTGAAGGCCCCCAGGGCTAGATTCACAGGCGGTTTTTAAACCTTTATCGATCTGGGCTTTGTTGCATTTGGCCCTAGATGCCATCTTCTGTCTTGACAGTCTGGTCCTGGGCCTGTGTGGCCCATGCTGCCGATGCCCTGTGGACCTTCAGGGCTTCCTCCCACCCCCATAAGCACTCCCTGCCTGGCTGTATGTGAATGTGTGTGTGCATACGTGTGTGCGTACAGGTGTGTGTATACATGTGTGCAAACGTGCTTCTCCTTAGGCTCTGTCCTGAGCCTACTCCTCTTCCCAGGGAGCGTCTGTCTCCTCCTGTCCGTCCAGCCAGTCCTTAGTTCCACTATGGACCTCTCAAACCCCATCTAGAGCCAGTGGGCTGCTCTTTGCTGGTGGCTCACTGCCGTGTCCTGAGCACGGTCCTGACTCCCTTTAACTAAGAAACAGAAGCCTTGTGGTTTGTGAGAGCTCACCCGAACCTTTGGGGATCTGCGGCCAGAGCTCCCTCTGCCTTGTGTCAGTCAGGACAGGCTGGACAGTGCTGTGTAATAAGCAGCCCCAGACCTCGGCAGCATCAGTGAAACAGCTCCCTTCTGGGTTGCACTTGTCACCCACTGCAGGCAGCCTGGGTAGGTGATGGGTGCTCTGTACACCAAAGCCCATGTATGGCTCCTCTGCTGAGGCCTCAGGTGTCGCAGCAGAGAAAGGTGACCGGAGGGCCTGCCCCGGCATTACATGCTGCAGCATAGGGTGACACTTGTCCCATGTGTCCCTAGTCACCAGAGTCACATGTCCTGACTGGGTGGTGAGGGGGCACTGCAGGGCCTGTGCACACAGAAGGAGCCCAGGGGGTTGTGGGTGCTGCCACCTACCTGGCTGCTCCCTTCTGTCCATCACCCTCAGTGCCCCGCCTCCCCTTGGGGATCTCACCGCCCGATCGTGTCCTGCATGTCCTGCCCCTCTCGGGTCGCGGGCCTCTGTAGGGTAGGGTTGCCCTGTGCTGGCAGAGCTGGGCAGCAGGCAGCACCGGCCTGTCCACAGCACTCAGTGCTGCCTGGCCCGTGCTCCCTCTGTCCTGGACCACAGCCAGGCGTGGGCTGTGCAGTGCTGGCTGAGTGGCCGCCCCTTGCAGACATCGTGTGCATGGACCGTGTGGAAGACATCCTGGCGCTGGTGGCTGCTGACCGCCCACCCTCCCGGGACAACAGGTGGGTGGTGCAGAAGTACATTGAGACGCCGCTACTGATATACGACACCAAGTTCGACATCAGGCAGTGGTTCCTGGTCACTGACTGGAACCCCTTGACCATCTGGTTCTACAAGGAGAGCTACCTGCGCTTCTCCACACAGCGCTTCTCCCTGGACAGGCTGGACAGGTCAGTGGGCACCAAGTCTGGGGCATTTGGGCACCTGGCACAACCAGAAACACCCAGGTTCGGGTGCCAGGTGGAAGAACCCCATTACCAGGCAGGTCCCAGCACAGCAGGAGCCAGCTGAGGCCCTCAGAGCCTGGCTGCCCACACAGCAGAGGGTGCGCGCAGCCTGCCTGCCCGGCCGGCTTCCTCTGGGGACTTTGTGACTGTCACTCCGCAGCGAGGTGGGGCTGGACTTCCAGGGGAATTTTGTGGGGGGCGTCACCCAGAGCTAGGGGCTGAGACCTTGCTGGGGGTGAAATGTGTCTCCAGCTTGGGGTGACCACACTGGGAGTCATGCCCCTTAGGTGACACCTGCAAGGTTGCACCCTGAGGTCCTGCCTGGGCTGGGCCAGGAGGGGCCACTGCAAACTCACGTCAGCACTTCCTGCTTCTGGACTGGGGATCTCTGTGGAAGGGGTCCAGGAGCCCCGGCTCTACCCTGGACCCCTCCTCAGGCCGTGGCTGCCTGTCTGAACCCTGCTTCTCTGTCCGGCCCCTGGGCAAGTCCCTGACCTGTTTGTGAGCGGGTAGCCCGCAGGCAAGGGCAGGAGTGAGAGTCATCGCATGGGCGCACCGCCGCCCTCATTCCACCGTTTCCAACTCTCCAGGTTCCTGGCTAGCTGGTGGAGACTTCTCTGTTTTCTAAGCCCATCTGATTGCCAGCACCGTACCTGCTTGACCACTAGCCATTCATATGAAAATGATCTTGGCCCCAAAACATAGCGTTTGCGATCTCCTAAAAGATACCATTTGTTGGGGCTGGGGATATAGCTTAACGGCATAGCGCCTGCCTGGCAAGTGCCAGGTCCTGAGTTTGATTCCCCCCACCAAAATAAAATCAAAACCCATTTTGTTTGTTTGTTTGTTTGGGTACTGGGAATCAAACTCACAACCTTGCGCTTGCCAGGCAGGCGCTGTGCCGCTGAGCTATATCCCTAGCCCCAAAACCCATTTGTTTTAAATCCATTCAGAACAAGGCAAGAGTATAAATAAATTAAGTGGAAATTCCCATGAGGTGACTGTCACCTCATCTTTCTTGATCAGCCCTTCGAGGGCTGGTGCCCCCTCTGGCGTGAGCAGGTCGGGACACCAAGGCAGGGAAGTCACTACACTGACACCCATGTGTAGCCCTGGACAGGTGGGCTCCCTCCTCCCTGTACCATCCTCGGGGTCACAGCTTGAGCCCCTCCTGCTAGCCCCAGTAAGGGTGCCCGCAGGGACAACGGCACTAGTACTGCCGGCCTTACAGACGCTCTGCCCACAGCGCCATCCACTTGTGCAACAATGCCATCCAGAAGCACCTCCAGAACGACAAGGGGCGCAGCCCGCTGCTGCCCGGCCACAACATGTGGAGCAGTGCACGGTTCCAGGAGTACCTGCAGGGCCGGGGCCGCGGGGCCGTGTGGGGCAGCCTCATCTACCCGTCCATGAAGAGGGCTGTCACCCACGCCATGAAGGTGGCCCAGGCCCACGTGGAGCCGCGCAGGAACAGCTTTGAGCTCTACGGCGCTGACTTCGTGCTGGGCCGAGACTTCAAGCCCTGGCTGATCGAGATCAACTCCAGCCCCACCATGCACCCGTCCACGCCCGTCACAGCCCAGCTGTGCACCCAGGTGCAGGAGGACACCATCAAGGTTGTGGTGGACCGCAAGCTCGACCGCACCTGCGACATCGGCAACTTCGAGCTGCTGTGGCGGCAGGTGAGAGGGCAGCTGTGAGCTTTGTGCCCCCACATGAGTTGGTGGCCGCAGACAGCTCCGCCTCTGGGGCCATGGGAGCCAGATGGAGCTGCAGGCCACCTGCCCTTCTGGAACCTTGGACGCGGATCCTGCTCCTGGCTCAGGCTGGGCGCAGACACCTGCAGGCGTGGGCTGTCCTCACTCCCTGTCTCAGCCTCCTCGTGTGCACTGAGGGAAGGGTTCACGGCTGGACACCTGGGGTCTGAGCTTTGACTGCCCAGTCCCTGGGCCCCAGGCCGAGTGTGTGGTTCCTTGCAGCCCTGTGGGGGGTTCCGAGATGCTCCTCTCTGAACTTTCCAGCAGGCCAGGCACGAGGTGATGAGGTCTTTGCCCCGGGACTCCTGCCTGGGAGCCCGGCCCTGTGCCCAGAGAGGTGCTGGGTTTGTTACCGATTTCCAAGCCCAAGCTGGGCCCTTTCCCCGCTCAGAACTGTGGAACCCTGAAACAGGGTGAAGACAGGAAGTGGGGTTATACAAAGCGGGGAGGAGCACTCATGTCTGGAAAAGGCCGGCAGGTTTCCTAGGAATTAATTCAGGGCCCGTCTCTCTCCACTCTTCTTGTGGCGTTCTTATAGCTTCTTCCAATGTCTTCTTGGCAACGTCAGCCGCCATGGTGCTGGCAGTCCTCAGCACCAAGATGGGATTGGATGGGGTGGAGGTTGTTGGGGTCACGAGGCCTCCAGGCAGGCCCAGCCGGTTTGGGCCTGAAGAGGGACCTCTGACCTCAAAACAGCACCTGGGGTGTCCCTGAGCTGTGCCCTCCCTCCCAGCCTGCCGTGGAGCTGCCACCTTTCAGCGTGTCCGACCTCTGCGTGGAAGGTGTCGGCATGAGGAGGGCCAAGAGGCAGATGCCGCCCATTCCCACCGTCAACATCCTGGCGTCGCTCCCGGAGGCTCAGGTGCTTAAAGTGCCACACCCCTCGGCCGTGCTGGACCTGGCAGGCGGACCCCCTCGAATGCTCGTGCCACAGGACAGGACCCTGGTGGACAGGAAGGAGCCTGTGCCCCCGTGGCCCACCATGGCTGAGAGGGGCTGTGGAGCGAGACGGGGCCATGCTGAGCCCGATGGGAGGCCAGCACACCCTGCCTGCAGCTGGCAGCACATGGACTCTGTGAACCTGAGGAGAATCCTGGCCAATGCCCAGCCGGCCCGACAACTGGACCTGAACCCACCCCAGGTGCAGCCCCTGGTGCCTGTGCCACGGAGCCTGAGGATGGTGACTGGCACGCTGAATGGGCTGCCCGCAGCACCAGGTAACCCTGCAGAGCCTCACCTCTGTCTTTGTGTTGGGCTCAGGAAGGGCGGCCAGGCCATGTCCTCCAGCGGGGCACAGGGCAGGCTGGGGGCCTCAGCGAGTGCAAAGAGCAACAAAATGGTCCTGGGCAGCAATTCCCTCCATTGGACAAGGGCCAATGGTGCTCGTGTCTCGCTAGTGCTGAGGGCGCGGGGCGCAGAGCCAGAGTGTCTGCCCTGCACCGTGGGTAGGCAGGTCGGGCTCCCGCCCGGGTTCCCGCAGGTTCTGATGGGGCCGACCTTCGTGGGCACAGGGAGGAGTGCTGGGCTGTGTCAGCCCCAGGGCTTCTGTGGTGCCCTGAGAGGTTGCAGCCCAGAAAGCACAGCGCCAAAAAGAGAAAAGGAAGCATGTGGTCACCCTTTACAGTTTCTTTCCCTCGCCAGTACTTTCTACACTGTATTTGAAATTTGGCTGTTTGTGTTTTGTCTGATGATCTGGTGATTCTACTAGGTGAAGTCTTTGACTGTGCTCTGTCTGCTGCTTTGTATTTTAATATAAACTGCTCAATTTAAAAACATTAATCAGGGGGACTCTGTGCTCCTTCCTAGCGGAGAAGGAGGAGGAGGCCAGGCACCCCCAAACCCACAGGCTGGCGCTCAGGAAACTAGTCCCGGGCTGCCTGGGTCCGGCTCCTCTGGGATTTCTCCCCCTGTGCTCGGCACAGAGGAGTGGCAGGGTGTGGACTGTGAGCTCCTGGCTCGCCCTTGCATGGCAGGAATAGCCCCTTGGGGGCTGCTTACTGGGGGTGGAGGCCTCCCCCAGCCGGGTGCGCCCCGTCCCCCACACCCTGGATGCCCCGCGGGCACCCTGCCCTGCCTGGGCCTATCTTGCCTTACTGTTTTGCCAGCTGAGGTGCTGTCCATGTGCTGGGCCTACACTGGGTCTGGACCCACCGGTGCCTCCCTCCCAAGGGCTTGATGCTGCCCCCTGTGCTCTGCACACGGCCCCCACAACTCCGTCTCTCTCAGCAAGATCCGAGACTGTCCCCTTCAGTCCTGATCCCTGGCCTGGTGCAGAGGGACACCCTCTTTTTGGCCCTGGTGCATGGGTGCACAGGGCCCCTGGCCCGCCCTTGGGCCTGTAGCCTGGGCAAACGTGGCTTCAGGCAGCACGTGGGCCAGGAGTGTGGCACAGGACCTCCACCCATATCTGCCGGCTGCTGTGTGCCTCCCACCTTGGGGAGGGGTGTCAGTGCCCAGGGACGCTGGGTCCTCCGGGGTGAACCACTGGACATATGGGGAGAGGCTGCCAGGGGCTGGTGCGTGGCGGGTCCCCACCCGCCTGCATTCTCTGTCTGCGGAGTCCTCCTGCCGCGGCCTCCCAGCTGGGTGGATGGGTGCTGTGCTCTGGTTGCAGCTGTGTCTGACAAAGCAGCACCGTGCCCCGCCCACCTGGGACAGTCCGGGCCTGTAAGTGGGAGGCAGGCAGAGGGGCACGGGGTGGGGGAGCTCCTCAGTTCCCACGCCTTCACCAAGCACGACGCCCCACCCCAGGCTCGAGTCTGCAGGGGTGGGTGGGCAGAAGTCCTAGCGGGACAGGTGAGTGGCCTGGACCAGGCGGGACTCTGAGGGGGCGGGGCGATCAGTGGGCGTGGCCACAGGTAGGCGCGGCCTTTGTGCTCGGTGGGCGTGGCTTGGGTGCAGCACGCTAGGCGTGGCGGCGTGACTCCACTGCAGTGGGCGTGGTGGGTGATTTTGCGGGTGGTGCGTGGACGTGGTCAGGGCCCTTGCGGTCGCAGGAACCGGTGGGGGCAGTCAGGCGCGGTTGGGGGAAGCGGTGGCGGAGGGGGACACCCGGGCCCGGGTGGGCGTGGTCTCCACGTGATGATGGGGGCAGGGGGCGCGGTCTCACGTGCCCCTGTGCCTGAGCACCCTCTCCCCGCAGGCCCCACAAGCAATCCCACCCAGTGCCTTGTGTGTCGCCGCTCACCTGCAAGCATGAGGCCCTGCAAGCGCTGCAGCTCCTTCTCCGCCGCCATCCTGCAGGGCTCCTGCTTTGTGCGGCTCGAGACTCCCTGAGGAGGACCGTGGCGGGAACGCAAACAGCCCTCGGCCCTGGCCCTCGGCAGCTGCTCCTGGACTCAGGCCCTGTACCCAGAGCTATTTTAGAGAAATTGCAGTCTCCACCGTGGTGTTCCGTAGGGCATGCGTCCCAGTCCCCGCCTGGCCCTGGCCTCGCTCTGCTCATGTTCTTGTCCTTGTCCCTGGTCCCTGTCGCAGTGCCTGTCCCCGTCCCGGACACCACAGCCCGGGAAAAGCCCCTCCTCACTGGTGGTCGCCCTGGCCCCGGCCCCAGCGGTCCCCACGAGATCTCGGCTCATCTATGCGCTCTTGTGTTCAGCAAGTCTGGCTGTGTTGATCCTGGCCCCTTACACCCCTGGTGGGGGGAGGGGTTACCCAAGGGGGACTCCTCGGGACCCTGAGCGCTAGACCCCTGACCATGGTGGTCAGTGGGCCAGGCAGGAAGGTCCACCCGAAGACACGGACGTGGGCAGAGCCTAGGCATCTCTGGCTCTAGGTGCCGGGTGGCTGGCGTCGACCCTGGGCAGGGCATCCTCAGGGTGACCAGGGCCCGCTTTCTGGGCCCTAGGAGGGCTGTGGTGGCTGGAATGTGTCCTCGGGAGCTCACGGGTGCACACTGGTCCTGAGGGCAGGGGTGGAGGGTGGGACTCCTCAGGGCCTGTGATGGGTAGATCCTTTCCTGTCTCTGGGCCATCTCGGGGTGGCCCCTGCACACTCCCCAGTGTGGCCATGCAACACCCTCTGCAGTTCTGACACAGCGCAGAGGCCACCAGGAGCTCAGGCACTGGCCGTGCTCTGACCTTGCAGCCCCCAGAACCTCGAGCCAAGTAAACCTCTGTTCTTTGTAAGTTTCCCTGTCTGCCTGTTCTGTGATAGCAACAGAAATGCAACTAGACAGAGCCGCACCCCAGCCCCCAGGCACACAGGGCCCTGTCCCATGGCCACCCCAGGTCACCTGCATCCCCTTCTTGTGGCCCTAGGATAGCATGGTTGGGATGGCTCTGGTCTGAGCCTCATGAGTAGGGTGTTGGTGTGAGTGGACCTCTGGGCCCTGCTTCCTTGGCTCTCCTCGGTGTGGTCGCTGGGAGCCATCAAGAGCCCCTGCTCTGACACAGGGTCTCCCCTGGACCAGTGTGGGGCCCTGGCTGCCTGTCACCTTGGACCTGGCCAGAGGCTGGCACTAGGCTCTCCCTTCTGAGGTGCTGCAGCCTGGTGCCCATTTGCTGGCAGTGCAGGTGGAGGACCTAGGATCCAGCTCTGCAGTGGTGTGGCTGAGTGGAAGGAGGCTGGGCAGAGGGCTGTGGCCCTCAGGCTGCCAGGAGAGTGGAGTCTCTGGGCGTGGGTGATGTCGACTGCTCATACCAGCCTGGTCCCCTGCTTCCAACCCACAGGGCTGCACGCCCCCCAGCCTGGTTCCTCTCTTCCCTCTGCCTCAATCAGAGTCCATGTTTTTGTCTGGCTGAGAAGCGGGTACCGCTATCCACATGGAGGGTGGGAGTTCCATCCACAGCCCCAGACCTGCCCAGGCCCAGGACACCCCATGGGCCTGAGGTCCTCGGCCACACCCCTCAATGCCCCCACAGGGCATGGTGGCCTCCCTTGGCAGAGGCAGCTGCAGGAAGGCCTGGCTGCCCACAGTGACACATACTAACACAGGGCTCAGGGCAGCCACCCCTGCACCCTCTCCACAGACCCAATGCAGGGACAGACCTGACTTATTTTCCTATGTGCCCGCCTGGAAGACCCACAGAAAGCGGCATTATCCATCTGGAGCATTTCCCCCAGCCTTCTCCCAAGGTCCACGCTTCTTGAGCCTGGGGTCGGGGTCAGCGGGGGTCTCCTCTCCTGCACTAGCAGGGTGGCAGCTGCTCCTTGTCGCCATGAGGTCTGGGTGGACCAGGCTAAAATTCATGGAAGCCATCAAGCAGCTCACTGGAGGGCCGAAGGCCAGGGCTGCCCAGCATGGCCCTCAGGGACCTTCACTGAGGTCTGATCTGCCCCTGAGAGTGTCCACTTCACTGCTGTGACAAGGACAGGCCTGGGCTATCACTGCAGTCATCTCCACACTCTGTAACCCCAGCCTGGGCCCGAACCACCCCTCCTTCTGCTGACCTGCTGGGGGTGCAGGGCTACAGCTCCTCTCCCCCAGTGGACCCTGTCACCTGACTTCTCTTGCTAGGAGGACAGAGATCTGGAACTGTGGGGTGGGGGCCCCAGGGGTGGGCATGGGGTTCAGCTGTGCCAGTTAGAATAGGGTTGAGGCTGGGGGTAAGGACCCCAGAGGGACAGTGGCCAGACATGAGGCCTGCCATAGACAGCAATGCAGCCCCCACCACGCTGGGGCCCAAGACACTCACTACTCGCCATGACCCCCGTGGGGGTGTGTGGGATGCCGAGGGGTCCAGGCCTCTCCCAAAACATGGGGCACCTTGGGACTCGTGGGGAGGAGGGTCCCCATAGTGGACTTGAAGTCAGTTGGGGTCAGTGTCACATGGTGTGATATCCCCTTCCAAGGGTCCCCATACAGGACTGGGGTCCCCTCAGGGTGTGGCATCTGGGCCAGGCAAGGGGCTGAAGAGGCAGGCTGGGGTGCTGGATCAGGCTGGGGGTGGGTAGCGGGGCTGTGCCACCGCCATGGGAACCCCTGTGCTCACAATCTCTCCTCCTAGCCCAGGCCCAAGGGGTGGGAGGTGAGGGCTGGGCCCGAGCTCCACTCCTGCCTCCTGGCCACAGAGGGGCACCCAGGCCATGGCCAGAGCCCGATCTGGGGTGAGAGATGCGCCGGGGGAAGGGCTCCTTTTGACTTCACCATTGTCCTGCTGTCCCATAGAGGGAAACTGGGGCCTATGCCCCTCCGGCTCCCCACCGTCCTGCTGAGAGGAGAGGCACCAGCTGGAGGATGCTTGAGTGCTGCCACCAAGTGGCCGTAGCATCCAGCTCCGAGCGGATCCCATCAATGCTCAGGATTCTGGGAGCCAGCCAGGCCCCACAGCCTGTCCCACTGCCTGGGCCAAGACATTGCCCTCCTGCACATACCACACCTGCCCAGGAGGAAAGTGCTAAGGAGCCGGGCCCGGCTTGGGGACAGACGCAGGGATGGCACGGTCACCATCGGAAGGCAGGGTTCACTCCAGACCTGTACTCTTCCTGTGCAAGCCCTCGGATGTCCCCGTCCTCCTTCACTCCTTAGGCACAGGCTGAGCTCCCACTGGGCAGAGCAGAGGCCCTGCTGCTGGGGCCTGAGCGTTTCCCGGGTTGTCCTCCCAGGCACCGGCCTCTGCCGGGCAGACCAACCGCGAAGAGGCTGAGTAAGTAAGTGATGCCAGGTGGGGTGAAGCTGGGCCCAGAACAGACTCCAGGGAGGTGGGCGGATGGGAGGGGTCCCGGGAACCTCAGAGGAGGCTTTGCTGCACAGACTGGGAGGGGCGTTGGAGCTGTTCGGGCAGAAGGGTCAGTGGGCGGGGCATCAGTATCCTGGATGCAGGGGTGGAGAAAGAACCAGCATTTTGCCTCGGTGATCCGGGACAAGGGGCCGCTGCTGTCAGGGCTGGGACCGGTCAGGAGCTGGAGCATGGAGGTGGCAGATTCACCCCTCTGGCGTGGCTGAGTCCCCATGCCCTTAGCAGCCAAAATAGACACAGTCCCTGCCCAGGAAAGGTGAGGAGGCATAAACACTAAAATCGAGTACATTCATCAGGTGCAGGGGTACACACCTGTAATCTCAGCACTCAGAGGCTGGGGCAGGAGGACTGAAAATTTAAGCCCAGTCTGGGCAATTCGGTGACTCAAAGAGACTGTCTCAAAATAAAAAAGGTCTGGGGAAGGGGTTCAGTGGGACGGTCTTGGGATGGTTACAATTAAAATCTGTTCCTGTTTTTTTGAGATAGGGTCTTGCTGTGTAGTTTGCTGACCTCGAGCTTGTGGTGCTCTTCCTGCCTTCTCACCAACTCCTGTGGTGCCTTCAACAGTCTTCATGATAAAAATGCTTAATTAACTAGGAAGCAAGGGGAACCACTCAACAGGATAAGGGCCACTCGAGAGAGGCCCTCCGCTAACACCGCTAACACCGCTAACACCATACTCCTGGAGGACTGCAGAGACACGCCCCCAACACCAGGAACAAGGCGGGATGGTGCCTTCCAACAGCACAGCGCTGAATGTTCTGGCCAGAGAATGAAACAAGAACAGGAGAGAGCAGGCATTCGGAGAGAAGACTTTTTAAATCCTTGTTTTCCTCCTCTCTGTTGATCTGTCTTTGAATTAATTGGTTCTTGCTGGGGATACAGCCCAGTGGCACAAGCGCCTGCCTGGCAAGCGCAAGGTCATGAGTTCAATTCCCGGTACTAAAAATGAGTTAATTGGTTCTTTCTCCTCTTGTGTCCAACCTGATGCTGAACCCTTCCAGCGAGATGTTTTCTCTTTGCTACTGTATTTTACGTTCTAAAGTTTCCCTTTGGATCTTCTGTTTCTTTGTTGAGTCATTGTCGAGACTACTTGTAATCACTGGTTCAAGCATTTTTATGAGAGCTCTCGAAAGTCCTTGTTGGCTGTTTCAGATATCTGTCCCCACATCATTGTGTCTGTTGATGTGAATTTTCCACGTTCTTCATATGTCTGGTGATTTTTGTATCTGTTCTGGACATTTTGAGTATTCTGTTAGGAGGCTCCAGGCCCCATGCAGAACACTGACGTTCTTGTTGGGGTCTCCTGTTGGATATGGTTGCCACGTCCACACAGTTTTCAGTGCTTTGTTGTTGCATCCAGGCCTGGGCTCTCCATGCACCAAACAGACACACAGGGCCTGAGGGGAGGTCCACCCATCAGAATATTTGATATGCTAAGTAGGATTGACCAAGGTAGATCCACTGAGAGGTGAACTCAGGTTGAAAGCTCATGAGATCCCTTCCCTAAGCTTTTCTCTGTCATTTTCCTGGTACTTTCCAGTTACCTGGGTTCCCTTTTCCTCCAACAGAAGCCAACCACTTCTGCATTTGCTGCTGGTAAGTGAGGTCAGGGGGCTCCAGGACCAGGAACAATACACAAAAAATCAACTGCATGTCTGCACATTAGCCATGAGCGAGCCAGAAATGACACTGAGAACTCA